TATACTATTTATTTTATTATAAAGGCTTGATGCAACTAATCTGGTATCAAAGTCACTGTCCTTTTTTTGTTTTATGGTTTTTGTTCCTTTTTCTTTTCTTTTTCGGTTTTTGTTTCGTTTTTTGTCTTTTTGCTCGCTTTTTGTCCACTTAGTTACATTACTTTGTTAGCTAGGCCTCGTTCCGAGAGCGTACCAGGAAGATTTCTCAAGTTTTCTTAAGAAGCTATCACGGTACAGCCGGAAGGTTTACACATTCACGCTGAACCGTACCACCGGTACTATAGAATGGGCATGTAGCCCGGAGCTGTGTCAAGTGGTTTCGCCTCATGATGTCGTAAAAACACCCAGGAGCGCCATAAAAACACTATGTAACAGTCGCCTACTTAAGTCCTGTATGATGTTAAATAAAAAAAGGCCCTATAACCATTGGCTCAAGCGTCAGGAACACTATCTCTTGTGTTTTTCTACCTCGAACGGTCGGAGCCAATTCGGCTCACTTGCTACATGAGACTAAATTCCTCGTTACAGCTTAAAGGCCACTACCAAAATACCCCCACTCTAGAAAGTAAGAACGTCCCCATACCTAGGTCTCAAAATACCCAAATAGATACTGAACGCCGTTAAAAACAGGTTCGGAACAGTCCACACAGTTACTTTTATTAGACAGTGGACTTTTGATCCATTTCAGATGGATCAACCTAAAACTCTCCATACCTCAATATAACAAGTTTAAAACACACTCAAGAAAACTATGTTGGGTACTCATATGTCAGCACACTCGAGAATTGGAGTAACTAAATTAGTCAGTAACCCTAGCATCAAAGGAAATTAAGTTTTAACTCGACAAGTTTGTAATTAATGAGTTTTAATTTGAGAATTGAGTTTTTGTGGCTGGACCATTGGGAGATTTCGGTTGTCCACTTTCCCACCAAAGGTTCACTCTGGTCCACTTCAAATTAATATCTTCTTCTTTCGCGATCGTTTTGTCTCCTAGAGCATTTTCCCGCTGCTTTTTCGACCACATTCCCGCGATTGTATTTCGATTGTTCTGGTCTTATATTTCTGAGATCTTCAGTTTTCGCGGGATAATTGAGCATGACATGCTCAATTCGAGTTTTTGAAAAATTCCATTCCACCCCAAAATCAGGTTGCTCTTGTTGCTCATGGTCAAACTTCCAAATATGACCGACTGGCACTTTCAGTCTATGTACAGATACTTGAATTTCTTAGGAATTTTGTATATTCTAACACAATTTTCCAAATTAGTTTTCTTTTTAAATTTTTTCTGAGCCAAACAACAGGCAAAAGTACTGTGGTCTTTGTTTTGCAGGCCACTAGTAATGAATTTCACAAGGCACAAAGCAAAACAAATCACACTCTTCTCACCTCTGTCTTTGAAGCGCAGATATTTCCTCTTCTGCTCACGTCTTGCTTTCGCTTTCCTCCTTGCCTGCGATGGTCTCTGTTGTTTGCCGCTGATATATCCAATCAGCTCTGACAGCCTTTCGTTGTATGCAACTACCAATCGCAGAGATTTAGATAGATAGATAGATAGGTAGATACTTAAATTAGTCATCTATAAATCGTAATCAGACATAACAAATTAAACTATATGTCATGAAGTCTGCGCACCAGGCGATGAGGAAAAATTTTCATTTGCCTCTCCATCTTACAGCGAGCAATAGGTGGATCACGACAGCGCAGGTTGTTTGCTGAGTAGGTAGAACGTGTCGGAACTAAATCTTACAACAGATGATCAGAACCTGTTTGGAGGATTGCATCGTACAGTTTTTCGTCAGTTCTTCTAATAGTTGCAGATATTGGTTCATAAGTATCAGTAACGCCGAGACTTTTTGCACGTCTTTGAAACAAATTTTTCTTCTCTAGATCTTTAACATTTGAACCACCCCAAACTTTAATGCCAAGAAAAGCTTTGGGAGAATAAAAGCACGATACACAATAGCAAGTTCGTCCTTCGAATAACCGTTTTTACCAAGGCGCCAGATTGAAAAAAGTATAGATTTCGATTGTTTAACAGCTTTGTCAATATGCTTAGAAAAGCCAAACTTGGAGTCAATCGTAAACCCCAGCACTTTGAGGTCATCAACACACCCAATGCCCTCAACCATATGTATGGAATTACTGTCACTATGGTTGAAAAAGGTACGCATTTCCTTGGAAGATTTCTGAATATTGAGAAACAATTTTCTTGCGTCAAATTGGCGACAGAGCGAACTAATAACTTCCCGAGCATTGTCAGCGCTATTGCAGCCAGCTACAAGAGGATTGTTGTCGTCAGCATAAGTTGATAACGTGGTGGAAATATCTGAAACATCCATATCATGGGTAGAGCCATTGTAAAGAGGCTGACCAAGGACAGTGCCCTGAGGGACACCCTGACTAGTATACAAAACAGTTGAATCCAAGCTATTGAGAGAAGTATAATTGGCTCCATTTCGCAAGAAGTTAATGATTACGTTGACAACCGCAGGATCGACTACTGGGACATTATTCATTACTCCTTCTATAACACTCTTGTGGGAAATAGTATCAAAAGCATTTGACATATCTAAAGAAAAGAAGCGAACATCAACATAGTTTTCACGGAAATTCCAGTGATGGTGTTGCAGCCTAATGAGCATACAGGAAATAGAAAAATGTTCACGAAAACCATACTGGTTACGTGTAAGCCATCTGTTATAAGGGCCTTGCAGATAGTTCTGCTAAATTAACCTTTCAAACACTCTGAACATAACAGAAGTAACAGAGAAAGGCCTCAAATCCTTTGGCTGCTTTGGAGACGACACTTTTGGCAAGGGAGATCTGTTTGCAAGCTTCCAAAATTTCCAAGCACAAGTTGAACATATGTCAATAAATTTCGGCCAAATTGTAAGCATTGTCCTTAAAGACCCAAAACGGCAGAGCGTCCGGGTCAGTAGCGGTGCGCCTAATGCATTTCATGTCATTTAATATTTGCAAGAGCGAAAACTGAGGACCGTCATTTGTAGTCTCCAAATAAGTAGGCTTGAATGGGCCTCCAGAAGCAGTGGAGATGCCATTATAGTACTGGTTAAGCTGCTCAGCCGAAAAAGCACCGGTGCGATCTGGGGCTATTGTTTTCTTATTCATTAAAGCATTCATACGCTGCCACCAGTTTCGACCACTGGAATCAGAAAAGGCACGTTTAGTAATTAACATACGAACTTGAAGGTCGACAGCATTCGCCTCCGCAAGTTTACCTCGACGTGTATGTCGATGCTTCTTCCTCAAAAGATATTTAATAACCGGAGTCATAAAAGGTGAATCCTTTGAGCTAAGAAGATCACGTTTCAAATGACAGGCGACCTTATACAGATTCAGAAGCTCGTTAGAAAGTTGCCCTAACAACACATTTGGATCGTTGTAGTTAAGAAAAAAACTTAAATCATGGGTATACAGCAATTATTTCAAATAATTTTTGTTGGCAAATCTATGGTAACGACAGTAAGCAACCTTCTTTTCAGATTGTTCAAAACCATGATAAGCAACCTAACCCACATGATCCGTTCTCAGAGTAGACGTAAATCGTTCAATACCACTGAAAAAAATTTCATCCGAACACAATATTTTGTCAAGTCTATTATTCCCGCGTGTAGGTTCCGTACAAACATCGTAAAAACCGCAATCTAATACGAGGTCATCAGTATCCAAGTTATTGAAATCCCCACAGAGTGAAACAATTGACGAGGGGTTCTGGTCCCTGAAGATAATGATGGAATGTGAGCTATGCATTTCTAGCTGGCGGCCATACGTAGCATCAGGTGGGAAATAAACCGAACATACCTACAAATATTTATTTGCTACGCTAACTGACAGCTACAGAATTTCATATGGATCACAATAATGACAAGTCCACCGATCACTGACAATACCTTCACCAACAAAAATATAGACACCGCCGCTGGTGGTTTTGTTAGAGTTCAACGAACTGCGGTCTTTCCTAAATATATTATACCCAGGAATAGCAATAAAAGAATTTTCAATTTCTGTGGTTAACCAAGACTCAGTTATACAGATAATATCAAATCCGTGATAACTGGCATCTTACTGTAGTTCATAAATGGCATTATGTTTTTTCAATGAATGGGCATTCAGCAAACAGAGAGTAATTTTGGGGTTGGCTATTCAAAACACATGTTCTTTGCGATCCAGATACAATTTGAAATCTCTAACTCTCAGTCTATCCTTTGAGATACCGGTTTCGACAAGTTTATAACGTTCAGAGAGAATACGCGACTCCACTTTCTTTTCGTCAACAGTAAGCTCTCTGGATAAGTAGATGCGATCAGAATAATCTTTCAAGATATACGATTTAGCCAGCAACTTACGAACCAGCCATGGATTCTTAAACTTCACCAGCAAGGTTTTCGGCCTGGTAGCATCAGATCGATACTTTCCCTAACGAAAGGAATCAGTAATAGGCTCATTGACAGGCTCTCCCAAATACTTCATAACTTTTCTGACTGCTTGAATGTCTGAACCCACTCTGTCATGCAATTTTTGATTGGAAGGTTCAGGCACGCCATTTATTCTTATTCTCATTTTAATTTGATCATCAGGTGTAACAGGCGTTGATGTGTGGCCATTTACAGTTGTCTTTGTATCAGTGGATACAGATGCTGCTTCAAGATTGATGACTTCAGTTTTGATAGAATCTAGAGAAGTTTCAATAGACTTAACTCGAATGGACGTCTTCATTTCTGTCTTGGCATCGTCAAGGCAGTTCGCACAGGCCCACATAATCCCACGAACCGATGATAGATGGTCGTAAATCTGCTGCGGTATATCCGTACACGTCCGATGCCACCACTCGCCACACCTATCGCATTGCACTCTTTCGTCTTGCTTCTTCACGGCTGCGTTGCAAGAAGTACAAGAAGAATTTTGAGCACTCTTCAAGCGTCCACGAGTCCCCGTCATCATAACATATGAAACTATTTATTAAAAATATCACAACAAAAATAAACTTATTAAATAAACAGAAGTGATTGCACTTACTTATGAGTTTCCAATGGTTTTTTGAATAGGTGAAATGACGATGGACTAGTGTAATAATTTCACCATAACAATATTTGACCTCATGGTTGAAAAAACCTGCTCGATTGTGTTCAGATTTCAGCTCCAATTCAGCACTCTGGTACAGCTTCAAATATTCCTTGAGCTGCTCCGGGTCGATTTGCGTGCTCTTGGAGAGTAGCCGTTTTGTAGCTGGAATATTGAGAACTCCTGTGCCGAGAAGCTGACTAAACAAGTCGGGCGTTCCTTCCTTTCTGCAATAGACGATCGCTAATATCTGCTGCTTCTTCAACTTCAAATAGTTTGTCAGCTCCTCGACACCGGTTGGGCGATAGTTGTTTGTTCTGTGGCTGCTAATGGTGTTGTTCACCACGTCGTGCCACACAACCACTTTTTTCTACTTCATTGGACTGTCTTCCAGTAATCGTCGGAGGTTCTTTCTTTGGTTCAGCAAGTTGTTATTAAGGGATTGGCCAGGAATTGCTGTAACAAGGCTCTCGTATTGCTTTGTTCCACATGTGTTAAGGGTGTTAATGTTACACTGGTGTTAGTTTTCTCCCAACCCTTCCTTCCCAATCATCATACGCTTTTTAAGTTCGTTCAAGTGATTGCAATTACTTCTTAGTTTCCATTGGTTTTTCGAAAAAAAAAACAAACTAAATTACAAAAGGGGCCTTTCCGTTTAGTAACGGTAAGTGCACAAGCTGGATAGGGCCATACCAGCGATATAAAAATGCATATATATTATCAATGAAGTCATAAATCAGCATTAAATGCATCGTCGTAATGTTAATTTATCTTAGCCGTCCTTCCTCTGCAATAGCGCTTATGGAGTTGTCGATAAATTGAGCTTTGCGTAGCGATCTGCACCCCCTTATACAAAAAATAGAGCTCCTATGGAGCGCGAAGCTTATTTTAGTTCGTATGTAGTTTATAGATTCTGGATAGCTTTCTTGTCTTTTTTCACTTAGTTTTTCGGCCAATCGCTGCATCGTCCGCGTGGCTGTTGGAGCAGCACCACCGGTGCATCCAAAAATAAGCGGGCAGAAGCTACTCTGCTCTACGTTTAAAGTTCTTTGCTGATATTTGGAGTTCTTCAGCGTTTCGTGATATTTGTATGCATCCTTATGCAGTTTTCGCGATGTTTTGGCATGGGGGTTGAAAGTTTTCACATCAAAGAAAGCGCGGCTGAATCGTGAACCCCAGAGTCCGTTTGCCTTAAGGTCAAGTCGTGCCTCATCTTCAGTTGTAGTTGAATTGTTGACAAAGCTTTCGCCTTGCAACGGCTGAAGTTTCGGCTCAATCTCGACGTCATTGCAAATCTCGTTCATGAGGTTGGCGAATGTGTCTCTTATTTCATTGTGTCTTATGTGTGTGTAACCACCCTTTGCACAATGAAGCGCATGTGTCAAGTTAAAATCAGCACCACATGCACACGAGAGTGGGGTTTTGGTTGGTTCCCATCCGTATCTTAAGTAAATACCATCTCTGAACTCTGATTTGTTCAAGTTGAAGTTGTATCTGCTCAGTGGTAGAGCATTGAGCCAGTTAGAGGCTCCCTTTTCAGAGGCCAGGTCGATTGCGTATTTATCTGTTTCATTTAAGGAGTTAATGACGTTTGTTTTTTTTCGATTTGTTCTATCAGTTTTCAATTTTTTGATTTCGTACATATTTTTTCTTGCTGTGTTACTGCTGTAATAGGATCATGAGATTCCAGTACCAGTGATGTTTCCTTAGACCATTCTAGGTAGCTTTCATGATCGGATGGCAGCTTGATGTTAAGTCCGCCCATTTTAAGGGTTAAGGAAGATATCTCACGGAACTGGGGGTTTAAAGTGTCTTTACCGACTAGATTAGGTAATAATTGTTCTTTGATAATGTTTTCACATATTTCTAAGTTTTCCATAGTGTTAGGCGTTGTCCTGGCAAGAAATGAAAGCTTTTCTTGAACTCCTTTAGTATTGCAGGCATAAACGTTTTGAGGGGAGGTTTTAGCAACTTTCGTTAGTTTTTTCAAAATTTTGATTTGCTCATTCTGTTGAATTTCGAGGAACTTTTTACATTCAGATTCTGTTCCTATAACTGAACCAAGCACTCGGGCTCCTGCCTTTATAGTGATTCCTGTATTTGCGAAGATTTTCTGAGCTTCACCGAGTTTTTCCTCGTTGACAATGAGTTGGCATTTGGATGCTTTCACGTGGTAGCCGAAAATGGTAGCCGTGATGCTTTCACGTGGTAGTCGTGATACAATTTTATCGAGGACGGTTCGTAGATTTCTTAATTTACCGACTGCGTTTCCGTCGTCTGCGTACCATTTCTGGGTTACATCGTCTACTGATAAGAGTTTTATGAGGGGTATTATGGCTAGACCGTACATGGCCATTGCTAGTGGATCCCCCTGGGTTGTCCCTTCTTGAGAGTAGATTGTTTTTTTTTGTTAACGAATAGTTTAGATGGATTGGAGTAGGAGTTCTTAATCGCTATTAAAAGGGAAGGGCAGGTGTTTTCGATGTTTTTTAATGCCAGCTTTCGGTTCAGCGAGTTGAAAGCGTTTTCGGCATCTATCAGTAAAATAGCATCGGCGGAAGTTTTGCTGAATTGATCTCTTAGCGTGTGGATCGCATATTCAATGCCACATTTTTGTCCTAGGCAGAGTTGGTAGTTTAAACCGAGCGACATGAGTTCGTTTTTCAGGCATTTAGTTATTGTTCGCCCCATTATCCTACGCATAACTTCTCCTATGCCAATGGGTCTTACCCCTGGATTCTTATCTAAGGGTATTAATCTGCATGCGTTATATGGTTCCATTAGTTCTGGATTTAGTTCTTCTGTTGCCAATTTTTCGGCAATTTTAGCAATTGTTTTTGAAATTTCAACTGATTGTTGCCCGAAGTGTGTCAGAATACGTCTCCATTCATTCGTATCGAGGCCAGATGGTCCATGCGATCCGTGCGTTCTCATGGCTGCCCTCTTGATATGTTGACCGTTTATCTGATCAAATATCGATGGATGGAAGGGAATTGTTTTGTTTGAGACTGGTGTAATATAGTTCTCATTAATTGGTTTAGATGGTGGTTGTTTCTCTATGAGAGTCTGTTCTACTGTCTTACCTTTGACGCCCCCACAAGGTAGACACCTCTCCGTGGTGTGGGGGATCAACGTCTTCGGACGGCAAAGTCTACCGGCTACGAGCCCTCCATACCCAACTAGGAGCTTCATGCGAGGTGCAGCTGGCGTCAAACACTGCCGACATAGAAAAACGCTTCAACGTTGTCCCTCATGCGCAGCTATTCAAAACGCTTAATAACAGTTGGGCCCAAGAGCTCTGGATTGGACATAGAGTGGACTCGCTTAACTAATTAACTAAAAATTCCCTTTGACAATCTCGTCGAGCGAAAGAACGCCTTTAGATGTGTCTGTTAGTTTTGCAATTGCGCTTGATATTTTTCCAGTATTCATTAGTTTGTTGAACTGTTGTGCTTCACTTTCAGTTTTGCTTGTACTTCCTTTCAACAAGCACATTTGCAGTGCCTTTCCTTCGTTATATAGTCCATCCAGGTCTCCGTCTTGCCATTGCTTAAGTCGCCTTGCCATTGTCTTGGATAAAGATCCATCAATTTCGGACTTTGTTTTGCACAGTAATAAGTGTGGAAAAATCATTGCTGCGTGCATTGCGAAGGTATTTTCGTTGTTTTCTATTAGGCTGTTCAAAGTTCTATTGAGGGTTTCAATAAAGTTATAACCAACTTTATTTTTGACAAGATCATAAAGACCGGTTTCCAGTGGACCACTTCGGTGTATAATTTCATGGTGGTTTCTATGAGTTCTGGACAGGGGTTTGACCATGGGTCTTGTATTGTTCTGGGTTCTATAGTGGAAGACTCTCCTGAGTTTTGTGAGTGTGGGGCAGTGGAAGGGTGAGGGTGCATTTGGGGGAGCGTGGTTGTAGCTAGGGTTGGGGGATTGCATTCATGCTTGTCGTTAGCTGAATGAAATTAGGAGGTGCAGCGATGACAACTGAAATCGTCATAGTGATCACTGCTGCGGGCTAGGGCGCTGCATTTTACATGCATGTAGCCTGGGCATGTGAAGCACCAAACACCTCCGCCTCGCAGGCTGCTTTCACAAATAAGGCAGTGTGTTTGAGTAGCCATTTTAGGAAGGACGGCGGTGTCAAGTTCGCGAGAGAATTTATAGATTGAATTTGCAAGAAAGTTTGTAAAGAAATCATTACCGTAGAACGAGAAATGGATGCCATCACGGCAGAACATTTGAGGGGTTAGATTTAGGTTGAGTTTAGGCGAAACAATAAGTGTATGGGGGTGTACAAATCTTTTTATCAAATTAAACAGCTCATGATTATGAATATAAATTTTGCGGTTTACTTCGGAAATATTACAGTTCTGAATTGTTTTGCGGATGATCAGTGACTTGGGCTGAAACTTGTTAGTGACAAGGTTAATCAAGTTTTTCCAGTGCTGTTCTAATTCCTGTGGATGCAGCCTGTTGTCATTGTATCCAGCAACTATTGTTACTGTATTTAGGCGCTTTGGTCTGTATTGTAAAACTGTTTCAAACAGATCATGAAGCGTTGCGCCGCGGTAGGAGTGAAGTGTTGCTTTTAATAGAGCTGGTTTGATATATTTGGTCCTTGAAGTCCCGATAACTAGTTTCTGTGAGAACTCAGGGATGCGTCTTGCCTGGAATCGCGGCATCAACCTGAAACACAGACAACTGGGGCGAGAAAGGAAGCTCTTTGGGATGATTTATGAATACTTTCACTTAGGGTTTAAAATTGCTGAGGCAAAGGCGATGAAAAGGAAAAAAAGGAGTGGTACAACCTGACGTCGATTTGGAGGTCGATTCACCAGCTCACTCTTTCTTGCGTCTAGTTACGCCAGGGAAACTTCACTCACCTACGGCTGGGACGGCGAGATTTGGTAAGATAACCAGAAGAGGAAAGCCCAGCGCGCATATGATATGAAAACACACAAGCGGTAAATTTGAACAAAGAAATCTATTTAATAACTCCTTCAAGGCAAACAAGGCAAGGACAGATGAGAAAAACGTTGATGTCAAACTAGAAAGGGCGAGAGGCGCAGTACAGAGGGGTGTAGATGAGAAGTTTTGGCCTTCGGTAATTAAATATATAAGTCTTAGGGGACAAAGGCAAACAGCAACAGTCAAAGAGACCCATCAGAAGAAGCTAATGAAACTATCAGAAAGGCAAGACCGACCTCTAGGGAAGCAAGGTGAGGGTTCGGTAAGAGCTCTTGATGATGTTGAATTACCAAATTGAGTACAACAAGTGTTGGCAATAGGGCCAAAGCATCCCGTCAGGGATAAATTTAATGAGACGCACTTTCTCGCCGACATTGACATCTTTCTATCGGATCTCAAAAATCGTAAAGTCCCCGGGGAGGCCCTTTGTGAGATCGAAGCTGTGGCAAAAGCCTATGCTAAAAGTGTGAAACAAACACCATCTGACAAAGGCGTTGAAAAGGCCCGAAAGTATCTGAAGAGTAATGGATTAGCTGCGGTACCGTATGACAAAGGCGTGGGTTTTTGTGTAATGAGAAAGGACACCTACGAGAACAAATTGTCGGATACATTAGATTCAAATCACTTCAGCAAAAGTAAAGCTCTACGCAAGGATGAGGTCTACTGGGGGGCAGCCCGCCAGGCTTTATGGGTTGGCGAAAGTGCATAAAGTGAATATACCATTAAGACCGGTCCTCTCCTTGCCTGGTAGCTCTTATTATAACTTGAACAAGGTTCTTGCAAAATTTTTTGAGAAAATTGAGGGCGCAAACATCGAAACCAACTCACTAGATGCGAGAGAAATCTTAGAGAGCACTAATCTTGAGCCCAATGAAATATTGATATCTCTAGATGTTAAGAGTTTGTACACAAATGTTCCACTGAAAGAAGCGATAGACATAGCTCTGAGAAAGATGAGCAAGATGAACCACCATCAAATGCTAGGAAAACCATGAAGATACTGTTGAGCATGGCAGTTAGTCAAGTCCATTTCAAGTGCAATGAAACATGGTACGTTCATAAAGATGATTTGGCAATGGGGGCATCTCTTGCCGTTGTTTTAGCAAATCTTTGGCTGAAGCAGTACGAAACTGCACTATCGAGGGATATTCCCGAAATGTTTTAGCCCGAGAAAGATCTTCACGGAATTTGTCCCGAGTGCAATAAGAAAGTCACGTACAGGTCAAAAGGTGTAGAATGTGAATGCTGTTTGAACTGGTATCACGTAAAATGCGGTGATATATCAGATGATGAGTATCGAGATATAAGTGAAACTGTCTGGTACTGCAGAAAATGCATCGCAATAAGAGAGAAAAACAAGTCAGGGCAACAAGCTAAGTTATTTCTCCGTTACGTTGATGATATAGTGAGAACAGTGAAGGGTGATCTCGAAAAAGTGCTACGGTCTGCAAACTTACTACATCCAAATTTACCGTTCACAATAGAGACACCAAACACAAACGGAACTTTAGCATTTTTGGATTTACAAATTAGTATTCACAAAAAAAGGAAAATTAGCTGTGGGTGATATCAAAACCAACAGATACAGGTATCATACTAAATTTTAGAAGCTGCGCCCCCTTCAGTACAAGAGAAGTGTGATTGAAGGAACTGTTCAACGGGTTTTCCGCAGTACCTCAACATGGGAAGATTATGATAAAGCCATGAAAATCAACCGTGAGCAGTGGTTGGATAACCAGTATCCGGAAAAATGGTCGTCGCGGGTTGCATCCCATGCCCTTGAAGAGATCATCAGCGAGGGCAAAAACAAAAAGAACATGGCTGAAAAAAAGAAGCCCTGTGATTATAGCCGTGATTCACTACCCATTTTGATGGTCCAATATAGGGGGAATCACAGTCAGACATTACCAAAAAAAGTGCGCGCTATCACCAATGCGCTGATATTATTCACGACGAGGAAATTGAAAACTTGTTCGCCCTCTCTAAAATCCTCCTTTTCCAGTGAACTGAAATCAAAAGTGGTGTACAGACTTGAATGTTGTGGGTGCAAATCCATCTATGTTGGCTATACGGTCCGACCTCTCACCACAAGGATTGAGGAACACCGAAAAGAGGATACACCAGTTGGACAGCATATAAGGCAGTGTGGTAGTGAGAGTAGTAAGTCTGTGTTTAATTAGAAAATAATCGACCAGGCGTCCAGCAGCATCAAGTTACTTACATTAGAGGTGCTGCACATTAGGAAAGAGACCGGCAATTAACACGCGTGACGAGTTTAGAAGTAGGGAGCTGACACTAAGGCTATAGTTCCAGAATCGAAAAATTCTGGCAAAAACAACAAAGTTTTGAAACAACTTACATGTTAGCATTAAAATTAGCCACAAAACGAAAATGTGAAAATAAAAATGAAGAAAACTCTCAGAAGTTTGTGACAAAATGTTTTTAAGTGTTACATAATAGTTGTTACATAATTTCAGTGATATTTGTAAAGTCTTGATTGGTTGAATTTTTAAAGTTTTGAAGTAATGATGTGTGTGACACTTTTTATGATCTTTGATAATTTTGTACAGATAGTTTAGAATTTTTAAAACCTGAAGATGCACAACATGTGCGAAAACGTTTGTTTGAAATAACAATTTTAACGCATTCTCTATTTAATAAGTATCACAACAATTAGGCACAATAATTTCACCATAATAATATTTGACCTTATGGTTAAAAAAACCTGCTCGATTGTGTTCAACCAGAGTTTTATGCAGAGTTTTTTTACCGTAGCAAAAACCTACATATTTTTAGAGTTCAATTGTCATGTATCATCACTCATTGCGACCAAAAGATGGAGAATACACTAAGGTGGTGTACAATCTAATCAAAGAGCAGAAATACGCCGAAGTAGTTAAGATTCTTACTTCTGAATTGAATATGAATGGAAGATCACGAGCTGCGTTATCGATTTTGGGTTATTGTACCTATCAAATGCAACATTATGAGGATTCTGTGGTCTACTATAAACGACTGGTAGATTTATGTCCGAATAATGAACACTATTTGATGTATCTAGCGCAGTCTCAATATAAGGCGTGCAGTTATCAAGATGCCATGAATACAGGTAACGCAGCGCATATAATCGATACTCATCAAATCTGTCACCTGTTTGAAAATGGGGGGTTGTCCCATTAAAGCCGCCAGCCTACAAACAAAAAAAAATTACGAGAGCTCACACTTAACAAAGATTCCTTGCAGAAAATCTACTGGCACTTCTTTATTACACACTGCTCCGAGGAAAACAAATGTACATGGAAAATAAAATGCAGATGTGGAAACTGTAACATCACAAACAAGATGAAATTAAACTAATGAACTTGAACCTGGGTGGGAACCCCTGAGAACTGTCTCTAAATATTTTACTACTACTAATACTACTGGTTTTACCATTTTGGGAGGTGTATTGGTCTCGGAGGGAGCAATATTTAAAGCTTAACGGTATAAGTGTTTTTAAGCTGTACAACTTGATGACGGAAACTCGGAATTGGCAGCAGAAGTTAAGAAACTGCAAGCAGCCATCAAATATGGCGAGGGTGACATCCAATCTGCTAAAGGATTGGTTGAGCAGAGTTCTTCTGGTGACGCCGACAAGCATGTGAACTATGGCTGCATCCTTTTCAAGGTTCATTAATATGTCTTCGGTTAAATTCTCGCTATGCATTGATGTTTTCATAATACCAACAAAATCTGCTCTCAAAATTCAGTTTTTTAGAAAATTATTTATCACGTTCCAGGTAGCCACTATGTTCAGAATGAATTATTTCATGTTGTGCAGAATAATTGAATGGTTTAAGTTTTGTTAATTAGGAGGGCAAATTTGACGACGCGCTGAAGCATTTTTTGGACGCGCACAACATACAGGGATTCAAACCTGACCTCTGCTACAACATAGCCTTGTGCTACTACAAGAAAACTGACTACGCGCAGTCTTTGAGGTTTCTCTCTGAGATTATAGAAAGGGGAATCAAAGATCACCCCGAGTTAAGTGTCGGAATGGCGACGGAGGGGTTGGAAATCAGAAGTGTGGGAAATACGTTGGCTCTACAGGTTAGCTGTCAATCTTGACTTTGATATTGCAGGCCTGTTACAATTTTTGTTTTGCGGTTTTAAAGAAACAATTGAAACTTCTGGCGCACATGTTAAAATGTCTTTTGATGATATAGCAGTTTTGAGCCTACTACTGGCAATTGATTGGTATTTTCACTTCAATATTTCCTAGACGCAAGCAAATGAAATTTCGATTGAAAAGAGCAGTTTTGAATCACGCTTGTTCGCTTTAGGAAACCGCACTGGTGGAAGGATTCAACCTGAAAGCGGCCATTGAGTTTCGCCTGAAGAACAACGAAGGGGCCGTTGAGGCACTGACTGACATGCCCCCTCGCTCGGAGGAAGAACTTGACCCTGTCACTCTTCACAATCAGGTTTTTATAATTACTCAAGCAGTGCTTGTCTAAAAAAAAGTAACTTGTTTCGTTTTTCTTGTAGTTGTTATTGGGCAATTTCAGTCAGCGTTAGCAAAAATCTTCATCTTCAAAATAAACGTCAGTTGTTGGTGCCAGGAAGCGTTTTATATTGTTGAGCATGCAATTCTACAAGCTGTCAAAGTGGTCCGTATTTCAAGTTTTCTCGGTTTTTGTGAAATTTTCGCAGCTAGAGGGAAAAGAAAAGAGTCTGATGTGACTTTATTAAAACGCATTTGTTGCTGCCGGTTCGTGTTTCTGACTTCCAAAGGCACTTTGGGATAAGTAGTGAGTTGAGTAGGTGTTGACTTTACCTGGCTTAGAAAAAAGTGTTGATTTAATCCGGCTCAGACTTAATTACAAATTGAGGTTGTTGTTTCGCTTTCTCCTTGGCCCAAGTGGGCATTGCACAAAATGCCCATTTTTAGTGCGTCAAAGATTTTACAAAGACGCGAGTTTTCGCCTTAACGAAGGTCGTCATACCATCTTTTTATAACTTACAAAAAGTTTTGAATCACTTGTTCGCAAACTGAATCACTTTTGAATAACTTGTTCGCAAAGTTTTGAAGTTTTTGTTATTGTTGATTGCGTCAGGATTTTGTAGTTTTCTGAATTTACAGACGCTGAAATAACTTACAAAGACGCGAGTTTTTGCCTTCACGAGGGTCGTCATTCCATCTTTTTATAACAAGTTTCGTTTTCGCCTTAACGAAGGTCAACCCAAGTTTTTCGTCTTATTGACTGCTCGGTTATTGATTCTCACTGCTTGCTAAGGTTGATTTTGAGCCTCATCCGAGACAAAGGTAATTGAGTTTTTTGTAGATATAGTTTTTTCAAGTAAGTTTCTCAAGTAAGTTTTTGAGTTTAATATTTCAATAACCAAATTGACTTCTTGTAATGCAATGTTTTAATTGTATCGCAAGTGATTTGTTTGCATTTTTAGTTCGTGTTGTTTTTGGAAGATTTTGTGATCTCATTTGTTTCGATAGCTGAGTTTTGATTTCTGCTGAAGCTTGATTTCTGATATTCGTTATTAAAGTGGATCTCAAATGACGCTTAAAATTGTAGGAGAAAGTTAAATAGATATATCGGAGTTCTTGAGAATTTCCTTGCATTTATTAACAGATCTTTTCGACATGCAGCTAACCGGCGTTTTGGCGTTTTTCAAGCTTGCAATTTGTGATTTCTCGGAAAAAATGGTCTTTCTTTTTTCAAACAAATTTGTTATTGTTTTCATAGTTGGAGCAAGTGTACTGCATCACGGGTACCAGGCTTTTTGTGAACAATTTTTCAAATTTGACTCTTTTTTTTTGGAGGGCTCTATTGGAAATTTTTGGCAAGAGACCTATTTTGAGCATGTTTGTTTTTGAAATCCTTTTTTTCTCGAATTCAGTGATTATGCTGGTTGCATGGGATTTGGTTTTTTTTCGTTTGTTGAGGCGCTTCGGATTTTTTTTTTAATTTACGCAATTTTTTAAAATTCTTTACCGATTTTCAAAAAAGGGGTATTATTGGAAAGACCGCTTACGATGTGGTTTTTGGAAAAACTATTTCACCCGTCTCAAAAACGACCTTCAACCCTCGCAAAAGTGATTTTCGTTTTGTTTTCACCGTTTTTTAAAACTATTTGGCTTTTTTCGATAACTGCCCTCCCAAATCTGAGTTTTGATGTTCAATCAAAATAACTGCTTTTGTGAATTTTTTTCCGCATAACGGCTACGTTCAATTTTTTTTTCACATAAAAAGCTATGAATCTGGGAAATGTAATGTTTTTTTTGATTTGTTGTCCAATCCGTGGAAACTTTTCTGGATAACTATCGTGCCAAATCTGATATCAAGGGTTTGCTCGAAACAACAGGTTGTTGAAAGTCAGTCTAAGTACATAATCGGATAAGTCCAATTCCTAACAGAAAAAATTCATGACTTCATGTAAGTCAAAGTTTTGAATTTTTGTCAGTTTTTAGAATATTTTTCATATTCTTAAAAACTCCCCTACAAATCTGATACGAAAGAACCGTTCAATCGAAAGAACTGGTTTCTTACGACTTCTTAATTTTGTCTTCGGGAAAATTCCGATTTCTCAAAAAATTTTTCTCTTATTTTAGTAGAGAAGCAACAAAGGTTTTGGACAAAATCCTAGTTTTTGAAAATTTCCATTGCATCCCGCATCAATATAAAAATTTCAAAAATATTAATTAGGTACCCCCAGCTTTAGCTGGGACCCTTGTTCTCTTTTATCGAGACACCAATGTTTTTGGTTTAGCTAGTTTATTATCAAAGTTTTTCAGTTTTTTCGACCTATGTTTTTTTGTTTGTTGCATCGTTCACGTAATTTTTTTTGTTCATTGACCGTTTTAAAATATTCAAAAGGTCCTCGTTAATATAAATTGATGCTTGAATGAGTTATCATTACTGCATTACTCATTACTGCATTACTCATTACTGCATTACTCATTACTGCATTACTCATTACTGTACTCATTACTGAGTGATCATTACTGTATTAAATGGTTCATCTTTTCTTTACAGGCACTGATCAACTTCGAGTCCGAGCCGACCTCTGGCTTCGAGAAGTTCCAGTTCTTGATCCAGCAGGCAGATTTCCCCCCGGAAACACTGGCAAATCTGCTGATAATGTATGTCAAATATGACTACTTGGACTTGGCGGCCGATTTGCTAGCGGAGAATAATGATATTCTTACTCAGAAGGTTAGTCTTGTTTTTTGTATGTTTAGGAGAGAAAAAGAAAAAAATAGATTTTGCGTTAGTTTTCTTTGCACATGCTCATAATTTGCACATGATTTTGTCCTTGAAACAATTGTTTTAGCTACAAAAAATAGAACTTGGTTGAGTTGTTTTATGAATTTGTATTAAAACGAAAAAAATAAATTAGTAATCAAACGCATTTAGAATGTGTGTCGTGGTATTTTAGCATAATAATAGGCTTTCGGTTGGTACACATAACCATTGGCGAGCTAAAACCGAACATTAGTTCTTAGATTTGAAACTATTTTTTGAGAAGTCTTGAACTTTTTTTGTTGAATTGCTGCTTCATGTTTTGTGCAGATAGTTGTCGTTTTTCATCATAGTTCCCGGCTGTTTGAATGGTTTCGAGAGGCAACTGATTCTAGCTACTTTGTTTTTGCGTGCATCAATTAAACTAAACTGGAAATAATTTAGTCTTAGTTAAACACTATTAGATTAGATTCGAGTTGCTGAATCAAACTATCTGTAAACTATTTTCTGTAGATTTAAGACATCCCTATGTTATTGCTATGTTTTTTAAACTCAATTTTTGCTTGTAAGTATGTTGATTTATGTTCAAGACATCTGATATATTGAACTTTTTAAAACTCGATTCTCATATGAAGGACAACCCCTAATTACATCATGCATTGAATTCATTCTCTAATTCGAAACCCTTATTTAGGACAACTCCTACATGACTCCATATGTAAATAAGATCATGTCAACCAATAGTAACATCCAATATTTTGACTTTTCCTAAACTCGAAACCCATATTTAGGACAACTCCTACATGACTCCATATGTAAATAAGATCATGTCAACCAATAGTACCATTCAATATTTTGACTTTTCTTAAATTCGAAACCCCCCATATTTAGGACAACCCCTACCTGACTCCGTGGATGTTGGACTTCTTCGAGGCAGTGTTAATGGCGGAGACTTCTCCCGAAGATGCATATGCGAAGTTCGATGACATGAATGCACGCATCACAGATGACTTGAGGAAAGTTACCAAGTTGGTGCAGGACTACAGACAGAATAGAGAGGACGAAAAAGGTATGTTGAGATATTACGTAAGATAACAAAAGAAGACGGTTGCTGTGATAAACTAGTGTTAGGATAGTATAGTGGTGTGCGAACTCGGTTGGTACCACCAAGATGCATGGATCGATCCCTCGAGATTGAAAGATTTTTTTTTGAAAATTCTCTGAATTGAAAAAACCACGAAAAAATTTTAATTTTTTTTTCTAACAACGCTTTAATGCAAAACGTTGAACGTGTAAATGCAAAGCGCAATTAATAGTTCCAGTTCTTAAAGATTTTTCCGGATGATAGAGCAAACATGAAGTCCAAATTCATGAGAGACGAAATGGAAATGATGTTCACGATTGTAAAATGTGAGAAAAATCATATGCATTGCTAAATAATGAGATGATCTCAGAATAAAATATCCGTCAGGCTAAAAATTGAGAAGCTATTTTTCCAATAAAGATCTCAGTCAGATTAGATATTAACTCACCATTAAATTATAAACGTTTATTAAGTCCTTTTCTATTTCAGTGCAGAAGACGATCAAAGAGTACGATGAGAAACTGGACATGTATCTTCCAGTGCTGATGCAGCAGGCCAAGATATTCTGGGACCGGAAGAACTACCCCCAAGTGGAGAAGATATTCAGGAAGTCGGTGGAGTTCCTGAATGACAATGATGTGTGGAAAGTGAATGTCGCTCATGTTTTATTCATGCAAGAGGGAAAATACAGCGACGCAAAAGGTACACAAATTTTCTGATTATAATAAATCATAAATAGGTTCGTTTTCATGATTATTTTCAAAAAGTTTTATCTTGGAAGAACCAAAAAGGCCAGATTAGTGAAAAACTGAAAAGGAAGCCCATAATAATAGCTTAGAGAGTTTTTTACTCCTGAGACACGAAATATGACTTGATGGTGCCCCAACTTGGTGCTTCATCAAATTATAAATAAATCAATCTTTGATTGTTACTTACGGGTTTGAAAATGAATTATTATTATAACTCAAATGACGCCGCATCTCACAGGGTATTAAACTTAGACCGCAAAAAAACACATTGTTTAAAAAAAATTTTCTTACTATTGATCATATTCCAGTTGTCGAAAACAGACGAACGCCGATAGATTCAACTAGCTCAATATCAAAGTTTTTAGTTATCCAGTTCTTTACCACTAACATTTTTTGACACACCTTTCTCGATTTTTTTTTCAGCATCGGACCTAATATTTTAATCAATAACTATGCATAGGTTTCTACGAGTCACTGGTGAAAACAGTTCAAGCCAGACGGGAACCCCTCCTCTCCTGCAGTGCAATCATACCTGCCAATCTGTGCGTCTGTTACATAATGACCAGTCTGAATGAACACGCGGAAGAGATGATGCAGAAGATTGAGCGGGAGGAGGAGCAAGCTGCGTATGAGGAGCCGGAGAAGAAGATTTATCATTTCTGTATCATTAATTTGGTCATTGGAACGCTGTACTGCGCAAAAGGTGAGTCATAATTTTGGAGCAGCCGTGGCTGAGTGGGTAGGTCACGGTTGGAGGGGTCTTAGTGTCATCCGCCTCCTCAAGATGGAAACGGCTGCGGCAGAATGGATCACATGTCTCTCCTCCACGGAAAAAGGCCCAAGGTTGACTGGTGGTAGCTGGGCGGGGGCTAATAAGAAAGTGTCAACAATTTGCGAATTTTTGAGTGTTTCTGCGTAAATGTCATTTTCGACGTCGACTTATTTTTAGTTTTGCAAGCATTTGAGTATACGAGTGACATGGGGGCATACTCAAGAATCAGAGAAAAATGAAAAGAAGACGTAGTTTGATCAGTTTCATATGAAAAATTATGCGGTGGTGCAAAAGAATAGCTCATTAGAAGTAAAAATCTATAATGTTAACAGTAATGTTTTTGTCATGTCCAGAGATACTTCGTGACATATCTTCATGCATGCTTTACAAAAAGTTTATCTTTTATACAATTGTACATCTGACTTGTAAATTTATTTTTCTCTTTGTTCTCTAGGCAACTACGAGTTCGGCATCGCTCGTATGATGAAGGCATTGGAACCCTTCAGTAAGAAGCTAGGTACTGACACCTGGTTCTACACCAAGAGATGCTTCCTCTCTCTGCTGGAGAATCTGGCCAAACACATGCTAGTGCTGAAGGTACGCTTGTATTAGATATCACATTTATTCTGTAGGGAAGAGAGAAATTTGAACGTTTGGCTCTCCTGTCCTCCATTGATTTTTTCTGAAGTTCGATATATGTGTTATACTCTCGACCGTTAGGTGAGGTATAAGCTATGTTGATTCTGTGTTAGTGAGAACTACGCTGTGTGTGTGTGTATGAGAATTAAACGAATAAAAGAACAACTTAAATTCAACGTTCTAAGTTTAAGTCTGGCTGACACTGACCTCGAATCATTTGAGAGACAGTGCCTTATAGGTACTAGTATATGTGTGATTACGTATAAATAGGTACTTATTTAATCATCAGACTTCTATAGGTTAATTAATGTACTCTAGGTTTATGACATGCTAATGCTACCAACTGGTTATGTTAGCACCTGAACTGGCTTTATCAATACTGGATGTTTTGCTATAATATCCGTACGGATAACATTCCCCTCTTTTTTGATAAATTGAGTCTATCAATTTCGAATGTTTCTGCTATATCCTCCTGCTGGTTCTCGTTGACTTTTCCTATCATCTCAGTTGTGTGTTGATTATCTCTGATAGTTGTGGCTGGTGAATGTTGTTTCGACTTTTGGGTTATCTGTTCCTTCTCTCTTTGAAAGGTCATGGAATTTTCTCTAATTGAGCTGATTGATTGCAGGAAATTCATAGCATCCTCAAAGTCTTTACGGAAAGAATCTTCTGTTATCTTTGGTTTGTCCAGGATGTAACGCGAGCTTGTAGTTCTGGGTGGTGAGTTATCCGTGTGAGCCGTTTCTCGGGCGTTCTCAGGCGTATCACTATTGATGTGGACCTCAGTGCACAAGATATCTTCGGGTGTTTGTGACAATGGTGATGGGGATGCCGCAAGCCCCTCGTCCATCGTGGTTGGTTGGTTGTCACGATTGTCTACTTTTGTGGAATTGCTCGATTTATTCGCTGTGGTTTTATCAGTGTTTGAATCCTGAATGGTTGCCACTGTGATTAATGCCTCCGTGTTGGTCGAGTTGTTTCCAATGGGGATAGCGTTTCCGAATTTCTCCTCTAGTGTGCTTTTTCTCGTTCTCGTTGAGCGCCGGATTTCCGGTGAGTGTGGTTCCGGTGTGGCTTTAAGATCTATTCTTTTGGCAGCAGGTTGTTCACTTGGTGATGGAGTTTTGTGGTCGAGATCGGTATCCGACGAAAGTGAGACTGGATGTTTGTGAGATCGACTTTTGATTTTTTCTTAGGGCTCATTTTACCGTGCGGTATTGTTCTTGGAAGACGTTGTGTGGAAGGTTCGCTTTTGTCACGTTTATTCCGGGCGTTCATTTTGCTTTTAGCTGTGAAAGGTTTTAACAGTTTTTGGGGTCCAAGAGCTCGTCGGTTCAACGTCTGCTGAATAATTTCTTGCGTTGTTTTTGGTGGCGGTCTTTTCGCACTTGTTACTGCTTTTGCTGTTTTTCCTCCTTGTGCCTCATTGATTGGTGTCTTTTTTCCTGAAACATGCGGTTTGGCTCTTGGTAGGTGTTTATAGGCTACGAAGTCTTTAAGTGCCGCTGGTCTACATCTCCCATAGACCCTTGGGTGTGGTATGAACGCGAGACCATCATGCCTAATAACTCTAGGTTGTTTGCCGTCTTCCCTTATCCACGCAGTATGCGGAGAGTAATTCATTATTGCGCCATTTTCAATATTTTTCAATTGTGCCCCAAATGTCCCCGGATTTTTTGTTTTTCTGGCGATAGTTCCCGTTTTCCTAGCGACTTGTTCGAGGCGGAGTCCTGTTTTAGGATCTATTGTATGTGCTGGACCTTTGAAACGATCCTTCAGGAATAGTAGCGGTGCCCTTTGTAAATTTTGTTTTTCTTATCGTGTTAAAAGTCTTATGGGTTTACGTGTCCTTAAATTTTCGAAATCGTTAGTTTTTTTTAGAAGAGATTTCTGGAGTAATTTAATTTCGTAAGGTTTATTTGATAGAGGTAGGTGCACACCTATTGGGAACTTTTGGAGTAATCTCCTGTCGAACTCCTCATCACTGCTATCTAGGGTAACTGCATCCGTGTTTGGAACCGTATCCTGTTGGTTTTGTGCGCGCTGTTTGCCTGAGTTGTTTGTTGTGCGTGGAGGAACCTCGATTGTGTTTTGTTCCACGTTGTTTTGTGCGGGTGGTGCAGGGTTGAAAGTAGGTTCGGGTACGTATTGGTCGTCTGATTTGGGTTTGTGCTTGAATTTTAGGTCCAGTTTATCCTCACTATTCACATCTCTGTCCCACATGGTTTCCGCCGACAGCGCTGGTTTAGAGCGCACTTTTTCGTCTAAACATGACAGTTTTGTGTTTTCCCACGAAAGATTTGAGGATTTAGACGACGTGCTGAGGTTAATTAGTGGTGTATTAGCTTTTCTACCATAGTGAGCTTTGTAGATGCGTTGGGGGTAATGCGGAGTCTTTTTAATAATTCAGCCACGTCTGATGCAAATTTGTAACGTCGATTTGATTTATCGATTTTCATAATTGCTAATCGTGATTTTAAGGTTTGTATGAGCCTTTCGACCATGCCCATAGCTCTATGGTCGTCAACTGGTGCGAAAATCAGTTTTATATTATGAGATTTACAATATATAAGGAAACTTTTTGCCCTGAAGCCTTGTGCCTGGTCACATCTGATCGCTCGTGGTACGCCTTGGTTTACTATGTGATTTTGCACAAACCGGATGATTGTATCCGCTTTGTTATTAGTTACGACTTTTGCGTATGGGAAACGTGAGAAACGATCGACACCCGCCAATATGTAAACCTCTTTATCGTTCTCATCAGGTAGGGGCCCCGCAAAATCCAATTAGATTTCTTCGTTCGGTTCTACCACCGCGTCCAATGTTGTGTAGTGTTGTTTACCCGAGATTACTTTAAAGTTCTTACCCTTTTCACGGCAGTTTTTGCAATTTTGGGCAGTTGCTACAATATCTCGATGTAAATACGGGTACCACACATGTTTCGCCGCTTCTAGCATTCCCCCTTGTCCCGGATGTGTAAGGTGTAGTGCATCCATAAGTGTAGGTCTTAACTGCTTTGGGATAACGACTCGGTCGTCGTATAGAAGGATATTTTCTCTGACGGACAAGCCGTGTCTTACATTATAAAAGTAAGGGCCATAGCAGTCCTTAACGTTGTCCCATTTTTGTTGCTTAACCATGCTTAGCAGCGGCGATAAATCCGATCTCATTTGGTTGCGGCTGGTAAAAAGTTTACGTCCATCGCTTTTCGTAAGTTTTTGCGGAACATCGGGATGTCCTCTTTCTCTATACTGGCAGTTGTTTGGCATTCAGTGTCCTGTCCCGTTGAGCGGTCCTCTTCGGTCTGCGTTTGACACTCTGTGTCCTGTGTTTGCGCTAGTGCCAGAGTCTGACAAATTGCATCGACCCTTTCGTTTTCAACTCTTCTGAAGGTAAAGCTCTCCGTTGACGGGATCACTTGGTGTGTTACATCACTGATTGTGAGTTCTGGCGGTGGTGGTTTTGAGAGAAATTCATTAAAGGACGCGTAATTTATAGGGGAAAAAGTAAGTTCGGTCTGAACACCGCTGTGAGATTTTCGTGTAATTCGACGAAACGGAGGTAGTGCCATGCCTTGCTGCAATTGCCTGTTCATTATTGGAATTTGGTTGAGTTTTGGATTTTCAGAATTTGATTTAAATGGAAAGCGACTTGATTTAAACAATTGACTACGAACAGTGAATGCAATTTGTGTGTGAACCGAATTTGAACGTGCGAAATTTTCGTTCCGGTTGAGCTCTTTGTGCCTAGATAATTAATTGTTGTAGCATTATTCAAGGCGAAGTTATTACTGCTGCTATCTTGGAATTCTACGCATTTGACGAAGTCATCGATTAATGCTACGACAAAGTGTTCATCCCAATACGCCGGGGGTTGTGGTTTCCCGACCGGGTGTCGTGAAATGTAGTCAATAAGACCCATTTTCCCATTTTACTACCGGCCAGATGATGTATATCGAAACCAAATGGAATGAGTCGATCAATCCATCTGGTTAACCTACTTTGGTAGGTTTTGTTGCCCCGATTACTTTTTAGGGCACTTACTAATGCTTGATGGTCCGTTATCAGAGTAAAACGTCTACCATATAGTTAATACTTGAAATGCTCAATGACCCACACTGCGGCCAAAAGCTCGAGCTCGTTTACCGAGTATTTCTGTTCGCATAATTTTAGGAACCTTGATGCATACGCAATGGTTACCCAACCATCTGGTGTATTTTGTTCAAGAGCCGCGCCTATTCCTTAGCGGCTGGCGTCACAACAATACGAGTTTCTCTGTCACTTACGGAGTGTCTGTTCTCCGTAATGTTTTTGACGGCATTAAGGATGTTTTTGAATGCTTTTCCGTTTTCATCACTCCAATGAAAATTTAATTTGTTTGCTGTAGACAATAGTGGTCTTAGAGGGTTGCATAATTGAGCTAGGTTGGGAATAAACTTGTTTAGATGATGGATAGAACCCATAAAACTCTTCAATTGTTTGAATGTTTTTGGGTATGGTAGATTTATTATTGCGTCCGTCTTCTTCTGCATAGGTGTGGTGCCGTGCTCATTTATTACAAATCCCAACCATTCTATTTTTTGCAACCAAATTTACACTTATCGATTAAAATTGTCATGTTTTCCGTATCTAATTTATTCAGGACTTTAGTCAGTTTTTCGATGTGCTGCTCTTTTGTGCCGTGTGATATAATCAAAATATCGTCTAGAAATGCGAACGTGTCTTTTTCATTGTTGAGGGTTAAATCGATGGCTTTCTGGAATTCTGCGGGCATATCCGTGAGCCCGTAGAAACCAGTTTGGAACTGATAATTTCTTGTTGCCTTTCCCCCGATTATACTGAAATTACACTGCGTACGGGTTGTATCGTCCAGTGGCAGTTGACTATACGCGTAGCGTAGATCTATTGTTGAGAAATATGTCGTTCCAGGCTTATTTGTACCCTCCTGTGCCGATTGCTCTATATTGTCTAACAGAACATCAATTTCGGCATCTGGTACTTATTTTTGTGGATCGACTTATTTATTTGTTTTGAATCCATGGCTAATTTAATTGATCCATCTTTTTTAACAGTGATTACAATAGGGCTTATGACTTGGTGGTCATTACATTTTTCAAGGCGATTGATATGGCCTTGATCAATTAATGATCTTATCTCATGTTCCACCTTTTCTTGGATATGTATGGGAATTCGACCCCGTTGTTGTAAAGCCTTGAATTCTGATAAGAATTTTGTATGCATCATATTGTTTTTTGAACGTCCGATTCGTGTACAGAGTCCGGGGGACGTGGTTCTGACCCACGTCGCAATTTGTATATCTGAATTATCGATACTGTTAACCTGTAGTGTTGACTTACCAACTGGTTTTCTTTTTTGGTGTAGCTGAATGCCAAATTGTGGGAGAAGATTGCGCCCCAGGATATCTCGCTCGTCTGTCATCCACCACTATAAAAGAGGCTGTGTGGATTGTCCAACCACCTGATTCAGTTTAGGCGGTTAGTCGACCAAGGGATGGGATTTTGTATCCATTGTAGCAGACCATTCGGTTAGCTTCGTCGTCATCTCTCATTCTTGTTCTTACTGCTGACTTGACTGTTGTAGGCAGTAGGTTGGCTGTTTTTTCGTTTACGAACGATGCTGGGGATCCTGTGTCAGCAATAAAAACGATTCTATTTGTCTGCGAGCGCACCCTTATTAGATGTCCTTGTAGAACTGTGTCGGTGATTTCTTCTGCCCGTCTTGGTTCGAAATTTATCCAGTTGGTGGATGTATCATCCGGATGGATTAGTTCCCACCCCGGAATAACGTCACCAGCTTGCAGGTTATTGACGTAGGCGGTCATGTCGGTGTCTTGAAGATGTTGTTGGTGTGGACTATCCTCCTGGATTGCATTTACCTCGCTAGATTTGTAAAGTCTGGCAAAATGACCCCTCTTGGTGCATTTGTTGCAAATTTTGTCACGCGCCGGACACTGCTAAATGATTTGCTGAGAATGCGTTGCCGCATTTGAAACAATCTTTCTTTTGTCCAGATTTGTCTGGGTAGTTCACTGACGTTGTTCCTCCTCTACTACGTCCACCCCGCTGTTGGGAGTTGGGAGTTGACCGCTGTTGGAAGTTGACCGGTTCTGATTTTATCTTTGAAAATCCGGTATGACTGTTTGAAGTTCCCTGTTTTCTGATATGGACTTGATTCTCTAGGCCTTTTTCACGTCTTACCGCGTAATCCATTGCTTGTTCGGGCGTTTTTGTTTCGGCGAGAAGATCTTTTTGAACTTCGTCGTTTGACATTATTGCTGTAAACAGATTACTGACTATTTCGGATTCGAGGCCTCCATCGTTGCATGCTGTGCATTTAAAATTTCCTTTTGCCACGAGTTCCGTAAGTCCGCAATGCAATTCTTCCAGGGATTCTATTTTTCCCTGTTTGCGTGTAAAAGCCTCATACCGATCGAATGTTACATTTCGTTCTTTAACAAAAAGTCGTGTTAGGTTTCCCCAAAATTCTCTGGTGGAGATTTCTTGAATTTTGAGGTTTGGATAATACTGTGTCAGTCTTCTTTGGCCCTCCGTTCCCAAACACAAATATATATAGCTTCTGCATTTGATATCAGCTTCCTCCCATGGGATGCCGTCGACGGTAGGACCAAGATTATCCAAGTGTTGGCATTGGTTTTCCCACGCTACCCGTTTTTCTTGGTTGCGTAGGTTTCGATCTCGTATTTGCTTGTCTGTTTCCCCATCTATAGGGAGCTCATATCCTGGTTCTTGGGGCTTGCGAATAGTTGGGGGGTTGTTTAGAAGCTTGTTCAAATTTACACCGTCCTTTGCGATGATGACAAGGAATAATTGCTGGTTCCATTTATCCCAATTCAACGTTCTAAGTTTAAGTCTGGCTGACACTGACCTCGAATCATTTGAGAGACCGTGCCTTATAGGTACTAGTACATATGTGATTACGTATAAATAGGTACTTATTTAATCATCAGACTTCTATAGGTTAATTAATGTACTCTAGGTTTATGACATGCTAATGCTACCAACTGGTTATGTTAGCACCTGAACTAACTTAATCAATGCTGGATGTTTTGCTATAATATCCGTACGGATAATAATATGAAAGCTTATTTAAAATGACTTTTGATGATCTCAGCTGTTATAAAACGTGTCAGCGTGAAAAAATTTCTGATTTTTTAACTGCCGTATGAACCGTTCGTAAACAGTTTTTATGCTGTAATTTTACTAGGGGCATAGGAAAACGAAAAGAAAAACGAAATGTTGATCTCCTTACGGAGGACCGCTGTTATGCGGTCCTTTCTTTGAGAACACATGATACTTTTTCTGTTAATTTGCTAAGTGTGACAATCGGTGACTTTACCAACGACTTCGTGCAACGAGGTCAGATCATGATGGGCTTCGAACTACTGACCTTTCGGCTGAGGGACGAAGACCTTACCCACTTCCATTGTCGCTCCTCGTCATTTGTCATCATCTTTTTTTGCTTAAGTTACCAATATGTTCTGGCCGCAAGTCTTTTCTCGCTGAAAACTAGCAGATGTACTGACTAGCTATTTTTTTTTGCGACGCAAGCGAGTTTTTTGACAAAAACAGGCCAAAGACGACGTTAAGGCTTTCGGAAAGTCAGTAGGTCGAATCTCTGAAGGGGAGGAGGAGTTCGCCGATAACCAACACCCCCACCACCCCCATAAAGCCGCCCCTGTCGCAAAGCTATCTTTGTTTTACGCTATTACCTTTTTATTGATTTTAAGGACGAAGTGTTCGTAGAGTGCATCAAGTTCCTAGACGCAGCCGAAGCCAATGGACGCAACCTGAAAGCGTACCACGAGGGACCCCTTCTCACAGATGAAGACAAGAATGACCCAATGAGAGATGGAAGGAACACTATCACATTCGAAGCTAGATATCTTAAGTGGCTCTTCTATGAGTTGAGGGATGGTTTCAACTACAATATATGTCCATTGTAGATGTATTTGAAATTGTGAAAAATAACGGCTCTTTTCCATTATAGCCCCCCCCCCCCCACCAAGTCGAATAACAAATTTTATAGGCCCAACGAAGTAGGTTTTTGCATTATGAAAAGGTGAGCTATAATGAGGAAAGATCCTAAAAAATTGTACAAATAAACCAACGCAATAGTGTACAAAGGTGTTTTAACTGATTTAAAATAGTTGTAATGAGTTGAATTGTTAGATCCAGAAAATTCATGGTGAATAAATTCCCCTATGTAAATTGAATATAAAATTTGTATAGCAATATGTCCAAACCGTTTAAAAGCTGTTTTAACGATTTTGATCGCACTGATTTGCAATGAAACGAGTTTTTGCTTCATTTCAAAATCTGTGAATGTTTCAAAGTTCTCAAGATTTTAAATGGTAGATTTCAAGAATGGTTGGCTGGTTCGAACTATCCTAGGTTGTCCGCTTTTGAAAAATATTATCAGCTTGCGATGAAAACTTCTAAATGTGCTTTATAGGACGCATATCTGCTTTGTATAAAGTAAACTATTTTACGTTGCATATTCTTATCCTCAATAAACAGTGTCAAAACAATTCAAGAACAAAAGTATTTGAACCTGACGTTTGAGAAATCTTCACTTTTTTCCTATTGAGCTAAATGATGCTAAAATTTGTTTCTCAGATCATGAAGATTCTGTACATTAAAAAAACTGAATCGATCCTCTGTAAATATAATGTGCAATTGTAAATATTTTCAACATCAAAATTTAATGTTCATTCGTAGTTTTGATCGATCAGAACTTCAGTCTTTCCCTAAGCGCAGATAATTTGTTACTAGGCAAGTAAAGTAAATATGTGCCAAGGCTATTTTGTGAGTGGAATCCAAAACAATGAAGGGAAATTCTCTGTTCGGCGATTCAGGATTGCTACTTTTTCTATGTTTGCTTGAGCTGGAGTAAAGTGTTCTATTTTGAATCTGAAAATTGATTTCACAAAATTGAATCGGATTTTTTTCGGTTTCCATTTGTACAAAAGCAGGGATTTTATCATAACACTTTCGTGTTTTTCCAGCGTTTCGTACTTTTGTTTCTATGAAAGTCTTTTGACTTTCATAGAAACAAAAGTACGAAACGCTGTGTGATGTGACTTAAATAAATGAGTTTTCTCGAATTAGCTATAATACTTTGCAATTTGATTTTGCGGGGAAAACTTATTTTATGGCAACTTTTTGTACGATCTTCTGTGCAAACTTTTTTCGCTTCCGGAAAATTTTACAAACGAATTTGGTATTGCGTGAATATGGTCGAAATGGCCAAAATTCGCGCGCGACTTAAACTTTTGAAAGTGCATCTGAGATTTTAGAATTGTCTGATGATTAAAAAACAGCTAATGCTGAAAACTTCCAAAAAAAACTTCTGAGCTGAAAACCTCTGTTTACGATTTGTATTTCAATCTTCCGAAAATCCTGAATATCTTGTAAAGGTTCAACACATTGGCGATATTGGTCTTCATTTTCTCATTTTGTTAACAATGGTTACTTTGATTTTGCATGTAAATTGAATCAATCGGTGAGTTTTTTGGTTTTGCTCAAAATTTTTGCTTCTCAATTTAAGCTCTCCGTTTCAACGACATTTGATAATTTTTTGAATTTGAATAGGTTCATTAAAGAATGAAGATCACTGATTCAAAATTTGCGAGATCTCATATACTAAGACAGCAACACTGCTTGGAAGTTTTGTTGTTCTAACTTACGTAGAATAACCATCACATGAAAATTTTTAATTGAAACGATAGTACTATTGAGAACTCGATTCACGATTCAAAGGTTTCCTTCATTTTATCTATTTATTTTTACTTCATTTGTTAAAGGAAAAAAAATCGAAATTCTAAACCATTAGAGTCAAATGAATAGTAACGAGCATTTAATTGCTATACAAATAACCCAAAATGATCTGCCACAAATTTTTTTAGCTGAAATTGAAAAAACAAACTTTTTTCAATTTTTCTATATAATGACTGCTTAGCTCATCTAGTGAAGCCCATTTACACTTAAATAAGTAACGGAAAATAAAAATATGATTCGTGCATTTTAAAGGCTGGTATCGGTTCTAGAAAAAATTAATCATCCCAAATTTTGCTATTTTAAATAAAAATAATTTCAGAAAAAAACCAACGCGAAGAAGCGGACTCTTTACTTTTCATCATAACCTGAGAATTTTTTACAAGTTCAATGTTATTTCACATTGACCCATTTTTACAAAAATGATACGTGGACTTATCCAGCCATGGCATACGTATTTGGTCGTCTTATTTAAATTACTGAACCACTCGTTAAACATAAAACTGATGCTCATGCAAAGTGTTCGGGCTATTTCGGAATTGTTTCAAGCTGATTAGGAACCAAAAAGTTGCCCTTTTTTAAATTTGGAAACCTTGATTGATTTAGTTTTTTTTTGCATAATATTAAACTTAGCACATTATTAATAAAAGAATATGAATTAAAAAGACATTGTTTATTGTTGGTTTATGACCATTTGACTCAAAGTTTGCTCATAATGCGTCCAAACACTTAAAACTTATTTAGTTTTTTTTTTGGTTTGTTTGTTTATCTCTCTAAAGCTTAACAAGTTTTGGGTCTATCATTTTCGAACATGATAACATACGTAAAATACATTTCTTGGCTTCGATTTTTTAAAATTTCAATTGAGCATCCATCATAGACAAAAAGATCATATGCTATTTTAGGCTTTGCATATTCTTGAGAAAAACGCCGTGGAATTTTTTGATTGAAATAGTGTCTGCTATCATGACCAATGCCGGAAAACATCCTCATTTTGCTTTTGATATGATCATTGTGCTCTTTACCTTAGCATTTAGCAAATGAATTGCAACCGGTTACAAGGTTTTTTCCCGTAAGCAACTTAGTTCACAAACCTCATCTCGTGGTGTGGTACCATGGTTCATAATGAGTTCAAATTTGTAAGCGTCTCTGATACACTTAGCTTGGAGGTAATAAAAACGCCTGGGACGTTAAAGGTCCTGGTTTAAAATCTGATTAGGACACGTTTTTTATAAGGAACATATTCTTGCACCGATCCGCGGGACAGGGAAGGAAGGAGAGCAGGAGCTAGAAGTTGCCAGGTGTTGCCAACCCCAGTGACTGGGACTACCGCAGCACCGTAAATACCAAAACAAGTTATGATGATGATGATTTGTTCACTAAAAATTGTCGGCCTTTACTTGCCTGTTAATGTTTTTTCGACTGAATTGCCTCGTCTTAGAATAGTTTTTGATCGCTAATTTACCTTTTTTTTACTAATAATTTACCCTTTAAACTCTTTCCTAATTAAATTGAGTTTTATTTGGCTTAAGATTTGTTCATTAAATTCTTCGTTTCGTTTTTTGCACCGGATTACTTTTTTGTTCGATTAATGGGTTTTATTTAAATACATCTTTTTTGAATTGCTGTTTTGTTTTTTATTCTTGGCGTATAACTTATGTTGAAAATTTTTGATTCCATATTTCTCAAAAATTAAATTTTGTGACTTTGTTTGTTAGAACATAAGTAGAGGCTTATGAAACATCAAAGGGATTGATGCTGGCAAGGTCGATACTCTGAAGACTTCGAACTTACTTTGAAAGCACCTTTTTTGGGATCTATGTCTAGGAAAGCGATAGAGGAAATTTTACGATAGTCTGAATATCTGTAAAGACTTGAGTTATTTGTTTTTACTAGACGGTTTTAAGAACAGAATTTTTAAATATGTTTTCTTTCAATTTTGTGTGAAAAAGCAGTGAGCTAATTTGTATTAAAGTAAATGTGTCATAAATGATTTATCTGTTTTGGAATATTTAGTCTATTTTTATACGTTTCAAAAGTAATTTGAAACGTTTCTTGTTCTTTATGGAAATTTTTTTGACCTTTTGGCTTTTTAGCAGTTTTTATCAAGTTCATTTTTTTGTCAACTTCGTCATGTATTTTTGTCTGACAAATATTGCAAAGACCCGTGATGTCTCTGTGTGATAATATAAAACACGATGTTTGAATTCAAAAATTCTAATTTTGATAGAGTTAGGAAAATTGCACGAAGTTGGAACAGACGATCACAATCACATTAACTGCTACTTACATCTTTTTACGTTTGAAGCATGCAATGATTAAGTTTCACAATTAAAATAACAAATTGTTGGTTACAGTTTAGTGGTAATTTTTTTCGTTAACGAAAATTATCCGAGATTTTCAGGTTTTTTTGCATCAAATTGTTTAAATGAGTTTCCAGTATTTTTGTCGTTCCTGTTCGAAAGTGTTCACTTTGCAGTCCGTCTGTCGTTTGCCCTCACAAAACCAGCGCGTGAACTCTTCCCCGAACATCGAATTAAGTTCAGTGTCTCGCTCGAACTCTAAAAATGAAGATAAGTTATACCTGTCCTAACAACTGCGAACCGTTCAGAGTTTCATATACATTTTGGCTTCTTCCTTCTTAGATTTTGATACCATATATTTGATCATTAAGTTTGTGTACTAACCAATCATTCATCATAACTAACTCATAATTTTTATTGTAAATTTGACTAATTCATAGTCACACCACTTTAGTAGTATTCAAACTGAAGCTGATCTCCTAACAATATCGTTTTCCAATATTTCTAAAATAGTCAACAGAAGTTGGAAAAATGTAAAAAAGGAAGAAAACCGAAAAAATTAATAGAGCGCAATTTGCCTTCTTTTTTGCAATTGATCTTGAGTTGAACTCAAAAATTTGCTTATATTGATAAGTGTATTCAGGCGCTGATCCAGGAACTTCTCGAGGGGGGGGGGTTAGGGGGAGGGGGAAGGGAGGGGGCATATATATTCAAAAGAATTTGAAAATTTGTCGACCTTTTTTTAGGTAGACAAAATTGAGCTCTCCCAAATCACTATAAAGACCCCATTTTGAAGAAATTTTCTGCGCCGGCAAAATTTTGAAAAAAAAACAGGCCAAAAATGGCATTTTTGGCGTTTTTTGGAAAATTTCGACCAAAAAATGCGTTTTTTTTTCGGCGCGCGATCCCCCCAATCAAAATAACTATAGATTGGTGCCAAAGGTCAGTCAGTCATAAATGGATATCTCAAAATAGTTGGGTCGGCAGGGGGTCGAATCCCTCAGGGGAGGGGGCGCCCCCTAAATCCGCTACTGAGTGTATTCATATATGGTTCAATTTGATTGAATTAACTTTTGTAATTATTAGAGTATTTGCCTGACGTGACAAACAGATGTGGTTCACTAACTTAATTTTTTTTATGCATTAGCAATCTAGAATATATTTGATTTTTTTTTTAAAAACGCCTTGGCCCAATTTAAAAGATAGCTCTTTTTTCCTTCTCTACGCGTAAAAATTCGCGAGTGAAGCTTGCGGACTCTTTTTGTGTTTTGATGTAACCAATTATTTTTTTTGTAACCATTTATTTTCACAGTTTGTTTTAAAAAATCAGTAATGATTGAGATAAAGTATTGGTATTAAATCAATTAGAAGATATTTAGACATTTCTCTATTTCTCATATAGCTTCTAACCTTCGACCGCTTCTAAGAGTGTCTTTGGAAGTAGTATCGAGTTGGCCTCGTTCGACACTCCCATCGGAGGGGGCTCCACCTTGTTTCTCAGACCATCCAGACCCGCAGCCACAATTCCTGGAAAATATTATTTTTTTTATTAAATTGTCTTTCTAAAGGCTGATTACCCTTGTGTTCTGGAATCGCACATACGCTTAAGATCTTTTATAGACGTTTTAAAACAGGCAACTTTTTTGAAATATTGGGTCATTGTTTAGTGTTTATTAATCGCGGAAAGTAATACTTTTCATGTAAGTTTTCAAATTCTGATTTTAATGTGTGCATAACGCGTGTCATTTGAAAATACAGGATCAGTTTACACTTTTTTAAAACTAAGATTTTTGTGAAATATTGTTTCATGCTTTGTGTTATGAGTTTTTGTGATTTTTTTGAAGTGAAAACAAAAATAACCTAGCTTCTTGAAATTTTGAATAGTTCAACTTGAAATATATAATGACAAGAAATTGAATTATGAATTTAATTCTGTTCAAGAATCATGAATCCTACCAGCCATGACCAGGTATGGATTGGCAGCTCCACTTGGAGTCCTGCATTCGAAGTAGGTTCCACTTTTACTTTCATTCTTGCATCTAAAGAACAAAAGGTTGCAAAATAAATACGCGAAACAGTAAAATTTTTGCTATTATTACACCTGCAGAAAAACTTGGAATGTACAGCTAATCTTTTAGTTTTGTTTCAAAAATATCATATTTTTACATAAGTTTTTTCTTTATAATGAGCTAAATCAAACAGGAAAAAAAATGTTTTCGAAGCTCCTACTAAAGCAAAAATGTTGGCATTTTCAGACATATTTTCCACTGATAAATGTTATCTTGCATGAAATACTCATATACCCAAAATGGTGCTAGGTAATTAAGACGACAGAACATAAAGACTAATGACATTAAGAGGAAAATGTAACATTAAAACATTTAGAATTTACTGTTTGAATTTATACGATTTATATTTCAGAAATATAATCGGAAAAATGCAAGTAGCGTCGTCTTAAAGACCCGTCAAAAACGATTGTAGTCTTAACATCTGTCGTCTTTTTTTGCCGGACATAAGTCGTCTTATTGACACCGCCCTAAAGAGCAGACCTTATGAATGCGTCTCGTCTGTCCAGAGCCCATCCAGACTTCCTGGGAGCCCAGCTGCCGGGTACTATCCTCCTGTAGCAGTTGGCAGTGGGACACACCAGGGCACACAGGGCCCTCGCATGTCTCATGATTCCACCTGCCCACCAGTGGGCCACCTAGAAGAAAAAGAAATAATTTAATGAAATATTTTTTCTAGTAGTTGTAGTTTTTCCATCTAGTTGTAACTAAAAATTGAAGAAAGAGAGCTCATTTAACAGTTTTTTTAACAGATATTTGTACTGGTATTTGGTCTAAATGTACTCCTGGAAGGCAATGAAAGTTAACGTGTGAATCTAGATTAGTTGAATAGTAAAAAAAAGAGTTTTTTTAATGAAATATTTACTGTCATGTACCATAAAAATGCTCTGGTACCTAATAGTAATTACCCTGAGAGGCCAGAATAGTTCATAATGGTCAAAAAGAAGTTTACCGAACAAAATGTTTTTTTTTTAAACTTAAAATTTGTCCCGTTACTTGGCCTAAATCTACTCTAGAAAGTTATTAAAGTTATTGTGTGAATCCAGATTAGTTGAATAATAATAAAAAAGTTTACTGAACAAATGTTTTTTTTCTGGAAAAACTAGGAGTGATGCCTTGCTGTGCAGATAGGTCGCACAAAAATGTGCATGGTGCGCATTTTGGTTTTCAAACAAACAACAAAAATCAAAACAGAAGTTAGAACTTTTTGGGAAGGGAAACTACAAGTTAATTTATAGCGCCAAGCTCAGCTTTATAACTAAGCGTATAAGCTTCCAACATAACGCCTCTGAATTTTCAAACAAATGGTTTCACTGTTTTAGAGGCGCTTAAAATCACCGCAGAATCCAATAACAAAAGGGCGAGCTCGAAGACAAACGCACATTGGCCGTCGGAGTGATTTCCACAAAAGGTTGCGGCATTCCGCAGCTTTATCCTACAAAATGTTATGTTTTCTCTGTCCGCATTTTGCCCCTAAAATCAGTTTCGTTTTCTAAAGTATTTTTCTGATCTGAGAATGTTTGAATCAAAATTTCTGAAATTTTAAGCCAAGTTTTTTCATGCAGCTAGTCAAAATACAAAATTAATATTTTGAAAAAAATCCAGAATTCATTCAAAATTCAAAACCTAGTTAAATCTAAATGTATTTGCTTAAAATTGCTTCTCTTTTAAAATTCAAATTTATTATTTTTACCCCATTTATTATTTTATATTACAAATAACTAAGCTAACTACTTAACTTTGAGAATCCGTGTTCGTTTTGTGGATCATAGAAGACGTTGTTGTGATGTTCGTCCCAGAGAGAGTGGTTGAAGTGGCCACTGTTAGTGACCAGTGACTCACTCTCCCCATCCGCGAAGGGCTTCGACATGAACGAGGCATGCTTGTCCACGTCTGAAATTAAAGATTATATAAGTTTTTTCATCGTTTTTTGTTTATAAATACAATGAAGAACCTTATTGTTCTTATTGTCACCATTTTCGGCCCCGAAACAGAATTCGTTCATGACTTGGTTTTTGAACTTTTTTCAAGAATAAGACTGCGCAAAGTTCTTTGTCCACGTTTGAAATTTTGAAATTTTGGTTCTCTTGAATGGATTTTCTCCATGTATAAACAAAACTTATCGCTTTTCATTTAGTAATATTTTGAATTTATAATTAATGTCGAACGGCCTTGAGCTACTTTAACGGTCAAAGAGCGGAGTTTTTTTAGGTTTGTCGGATTATAGCACAGCTTTTATGCGCTTCAGTAGCTTTAGAGTTGAATTCTGAGGTCAAAACGAGCAGCTGCGAAGTTTTTTCTTAGAAAGACTAGAAACTAACGAAAAATCTATAAAAATGCCTTCGAAAAATCTTTAAAAAATGTGAAATGTACCCCACGCAGTCTCCTTCACACAACTCTTCAGCATAAAAGCCTCATCACCCGCCCTCACTCCAAATGCAGGGGGGAGAGTGATCTCATTCTGAGCATCCCCCAACTCCACCTGGTAAGTCCTGCCAATTATCCCGGCTGATAGCAGTCTCCTGTGCACTTCGATGTGGAACTCCTCCACCTTCTTGTGCTCTGGAAAAATGATGCCAGATTTTTTTTGGAGAGAAAAAAGACATTTACAATAGAATGATTTGTAGATGTTGAAATGAAAAAGTTCCATTTTTAGTCATACGCGTAGATGTTTAACAAAAAAGCGTGTGTTTCATCTGCACACCCTTTAATATGAAAACTGTATGGTAAAGTAATTGAAATTATGCTAATAGTACACACCAAATGTGGAGCAAATATCAGTCCCCCTGAACACCGGCTGCAGTTTCTTCCTTTCAGCCCCTTCATTCTCCCCCTTCCCCTTCTGACTGCTGACGTGTTTTCCCTCCATGAGTACGAACTCATACTCCAAAGCAGAGTAGAGGTCAAATCCGAACTCATCTTTGAGACATTTGAGTTGCTTCTCACACTGGTGGCGGGAATCGATTCCCTAATAAACAATTAAAAAAACATACAAGCAAGTGTAGCTGGTTATTGTGTTAGTAGCACATTATGCAGAAGAGTAAAAATTTTCGAACAAAGGCATTAGACGGTTGGAAAAATAATGAAACTATATTTTGAACTTTTCCGAGTTTTGAAATTTGAGCACAGATTATTGTAGTTAATATTTTTTCCACTCAATTTAAATATCTCAAAAGCTAATCAGAATAGGAAAGGTAAAATTTTTTTCCAGTTTTCATAAAAATCAATTAAAACTTTGGGTTTAAGTCTATAAAAAACTATAGGAATGCATTAAATTTTAGTGAGTTAGCTAAAATCGACAACCATTTGCCTAAAACTGATCAAAAATTGGAAATGAAAAAATTAATTCAAAATTTGTTATGATTTGTTCAAAAAAATCTTTATTTTTTAACAACTTAATTGTGCGTACGGTTTGCAAATAGAATCTTCAAAAACTAGTTTTCCAGAGTGAAACTAAGGGTTTTTTACTAATTAAATTTTTTTTCAGCTTAAAAGGCTCCTCAATAGGCAACACTAGATAAATTAAGACAATTCAATGAAGTTTGCTAAAATGCGGGATAAAAATCCCTTTTCGGTTACAATTATTTTCGATTTCGTCAAATGGTGATACATTAAATAGCAAAGCAAATCAGTTGTTTGCTCTGGACATGGACAAAATTGTGAGAAAATTTAAGTCTATGAACATTTCTTTGCAGCAAAAAAACTGCGAAGACGATCCAATGTAATTGAGCGCTGATGCTATCATGGATTTAGTTCTATTTTTTTCTGTTATGATGGGTTGATTTAAGAAACTTGATTTGTGTTGGTTTTCAAAGCTTGATAATTCCTAACTTTGGAAATGTATAATTATATAGAAAAAGTTTTTGATAGATGTATAGTTGGCATCATTTGTCGTTAGTTCGCCCTCCACAATGTTGTTATTATTCACAACTTGATATTAACTGGCATAGGTTTTTATTTTTGATATTTTTTTCTTTATTCATTCAGAATTTTTACGGAGAAAAAATTTCTTCTTCTTTTTCTTCTTGTTTTTCTGCTTCTCTTCAATTTACTGGCTCAATAGTAAGTGGTTTTGAATACCGTATCTTTTTTACGAATTAGAGTAAAGCTTTTGAAGAAAATCAATTTAATTTCTCAAACTTGATTTGAATTGGCTGAAACCTTTATTCTAGAGGCTGTATGAGCAAATAAAACATTGGTTGGTATAGAAAATGTTTATTTAACCTTAAATTTGTTACTTAATTTTTTTGTACTTGTTGTTTTTTCAAAAACGGGTCTTGATTCAAAACATAGGGAGTTTTGTTATAGATGTGTTTTGTATGATTTATCAAAGGGATTGGAGAAACGTCCGTTCTAAATTCAATTTAGCGTTTCCGTTACGAACTTGGTTATGTGTGATTGTATGTGTACGCTGGTTTTGCTTTTTTGAGATTTCATATTTTCTTGAAAACTACAGTTAGCTTACTGAAACGACAAAAATAATGGCATATATCAGGTTTCCTCAACTTCCTAAACAGGTATAGATATATTAAGGATACAAAAAGCGAAACACCACGAACAAACAGCTAAAACGCTGCATTGCTCAAAATTGCTCCAAAAACAGGCAACAAAATAAATTGCGGAATCCGCACCAAATACTGCGGAATCTAGACCAGTTTGCGGAATGAATCCACAAATAGATCAAAAAAATTGTTTAACATAAAATTATGCTGTTGCGGAATCCGTGTTTGTCAGCGTAATCCGCAAAGTGTACGCGGATTCCATGTATTATAAGCGGAATATGCAAGATGCAAGCGGAATTTGCACAAGTAAGTGGAACCCGCTTTCAATAGCAAAATAAGCTTGCAGTTTGAGGAATCCGCTTGAAAATGCGGTATTTAGCCTAACAACTAGCTAAGTTCACTCGGTGCAAAATCCGTGACAGAACTAATAAGCAGACACAATTTTCATTTCGCGTCTTTGTCGCGCGGAATTCACGGAAACTTTGTGGACGAAATCCAGTTACATTTTTGAACAAGTTTAGAAAATTGTCTTTGGGTTCCAGATACCTACAGACACCAAATTGTGCACCTATCCCGTGAACTGTTTTCGCGTCGTACTGATTACAGATTCATGTGTCAACAAATTCTATCATGTTCATTCTAGATCCTTTTTTGCCTGAAATTGTTTTATTTTATCGAAGCACAGTCGGCGGTTTTAATCAATTTTGAAAATAGGGGGCGCTCTCAGCTCCCATTGATTCGTTCATAAAAAAACTTGCCAATATCATGACTAATCTTGGAGGATCAAAATAACATGGAAATCTGCAAAATCTTGTAAGATGTGCTCTATTTCTTTTCACCCACCTGCAATTGTTTTTTTACAAATATGTAAATTTTGATATCGTCCGATTGTTATGAAAATTTACAGGCTGACTAATTATGCCAGGCAATCATTTTTTTAGTCGCCATATTTAATCTTGTCAACTCGCTCATTACACAATGAAATTGATGCTCGCTCAAGATGGGGGATGGGGGGGTAGAGAAAGAGCCGTAGTATTGTGCAATATACTTCTCGAAAACTTGTTTCTCATTTTTTCGGAGTAATTATGGCTCTTTCCAGTTTTTCACCCCTTCGTAAAGTTACAAAATATAACTGTTCAAAGTTTGGTCACACGGCATTTTGCATGTAAGAAATGTTGTAAAAATTTGCTCACCTGTTCATGCTGACAAGTTTTGCTGCATTTTATAACATCATATGTCATTTTAAATAGACTTCCATATATAAGGGGGACTGGAAAAGAGACGATTTTATGTTGGGCTTAAGAGAGGATTTTTTATGGTGAATAGCCTCAAAATTGACCTTGACCTACCTGGTAGTCGAGGGATTCTTTCCAGTGGAATGAGCAGATGACCTCGGCTATCTTGGACTTTCCCGAACTTCCAGACCAAGGGCATAGATGAAAAGTGTCTCGACCTAAAGAAACGATAGAAAAATTTAAAATTTTTAAAAACATGTAACTGACTTAGTGATAATTTGACGAGATTGATCCTATATTCTCCAGAAGGCAAATGTCTTTTCAAAACTATGTCTAAAATGGTCGATTTTTTCTAAATATACCTTACAGACTTTTAGAAAATTATCGCTCTACGGCATAAAAAAAGTCAGAAATTTTTTTTTCGTTTAACTTCGGTTCCCTCTTCATTTTATTGTTTAGTATACTCGTTCCACAAACTTGCTCTTGCCAAAAACGATATTCTTAAAAATGTGCCAGAATGTGTTAAAAGTGTGAGATGGTGACTTCAACAAAGATCTATACGAAGGACACTGCTAACTTCGCCCTTATTCTTGACATAACTCTTCTTGACTATTTAAGATAATTTTGATAGTTTTTATCTGAAAAATTAAGCCTTTCTCCTAGAAGATTTAAAACTCAATTTGTTTGAACACAGTTTCGAAAATTAAAAGTTCTACACCGTAAAATTGATGTTAGTAATATTTATTAGCGTGGGTTTAGAAGAACTCTACCCCTGTTTAATTTACATACCTGGAAACACATAGCAATCAGGGTAGCCAGAGTCTTCTAGTTCATCCAGGGTAGCCACTTGGGAGGATGCGTCAAACAGGGGCACCACACAACACATTCCCACCCCTCCCCCTCGCAACACACTCTCTACACACGGAACACTGACCTGGAAAAAATCACAGAAGATCTATCCAGAACTGAGTTTGATACGTAAGTAATCGATTATAGTACAAAAAACTTATTCAGTCTTTTCATAAAATTGTTAAAATTTCTCATGTTTGCATAATTATTTTACTTGAACTTGCATGTCATAATTTTTTTTTCAGCGTTTCGATCTCTTTGGGAATTAGATGAGACTCAATCAAGATGATGTATACTAGAATTAGGTTTCATCGTCAAGATTTTTTCATCAAAGTGTTGTTAATGGTTCAAATTTTAGGAACTACGAAAGACACGACAAATTGTTACATTTTTTTTCAAGAATTTAGTTCCTTGTTTGTGCCTTAATAGCTTAAATTGATGCTTAAACATTGTATACAGATACATTTCGTACACATTCAATTTTTTTTGTTTTTTTTTGCCCTTGACCTGCAGATTAAAAATTTCTTATATCATTACGAGGCCAAAATGTGCATTTTGTGAGTTGAGGTCGTTTTCGCATTAAGGAAGCTCCTTTTGTTTTTTTTGTTCTTTCAGTCTTTGTGATGGTTCTGACAAAAATTTAACAGGTTTAAAGACTTGTCTCTGGAAGCCAGGAACAAACAGACATCAATTGCACAAATTAGCGACATGATTTTTTCCTGAAAATTCTGCAATTTAACTTCACGTGTTATTCTAATTTAAAAACTAGTAAGAGATACTGATTTACCACATTTTATTAAATAAATGGAGCTATTAAGTCTTTCAAAAAATTGATCCCTTTTGACTGATTTGGAGAATTGAGACGTTCCTTCGTTAAAGTTAAAATATGCTTTATAAACTTTCATTTGGAATCAAGGCGTATGCTAAACTGCTTGCTTACAGTTTTGCAAGCCTTTCATTTTCCAACCCAGGCGAGTAATCGGCAAAAATTTCCAACAAAAAACTAAGAGGCTAAAGTTTTCCTCTATTCAACTTTCAACTTTTTCACAAACAATGTTTTAGTGGCAATCAACTCTTGAGTAATGGTCTGGCCAGTTGGAGAGGTTTCCCCGTAAATCGCCGTGTCATCAGGCAAAAAGTTTGAACTCTGAGGTTTTCAAGCAAATTGGATTATCATTGACGCTTATGAAAAATCGTAGCGGTCGTAGAACTGAACCCTGAGGGGTTCCATAATTAAAGTTTGGCTTTTGAGAGCATTCTATTCAAGATGTTCACCATGATTTTCAAAATGATCAAAGCATCAACTCATGATTTTTTAGACTGAAAGCCAAATTGTCTATTTCTTGTTAGCATGTGCTTTCTAATAGTTTTTTCATAGTTTTTGGACGCTGTGCTTATTAAATTAAACAGCCGAAATTTACTGGGACTATCAAGTCTACATTTTTAAACACGAGGAAAAGTTTCGCTGTTTCAAAGTATTCGGGGTAGTAAATGCAAAAAAATCCTGATTTACTGCTGATTATGCAGTGATAACATATATTTAACGGCAATCAAATAATAGCGGTTTTACTATTAGACTTCAAAAACCGACAGAAATTTTAAAATCTGGTTTGGACATTACCCTTCAGTTTCAATTTCAAGCAAAGAAGGAGTTCAACTGTCTTCTATTTTGCCTTCAAACCCCCAAAAAAAGATGTTAAACCAAAATTAAGTAGTTTTTGGTTATTTATGCGGTGTAAAAATGATAATTTTTCATGCGGCGATTCGCATGTGAAAGAATTTATTTTCCAATTGTTCCTTCTGATATCCCGGGTCAAAAGTTGCAACTTTACTTTCGACCATCTTAACCCAAGTCTTTTATCTTTCGACTAGCTTCGAGGAAAAACAGTTTCAATCAGGGGCGGACGCCCGCCCCCTCAGGGATTCGACCCCCTGCCGACCCAAGGGTCCCCCCTTTGTACTATTTACCATATCCAATTTTGGCGATGGACCTTAAACATTTACTAAAGGCGCCTTTGACGCCAATAGATACTTATTTTGAGGGGGCCAAAATCAATTTTTTGAAAGTCCGCTATCCCCCCCCCCCTCCCTCGAGAAAATCCTGGATCCGTCCCTGGTTTCAACCATGGAATTTTTTAGACCAAAAAGATTTTCGATTAATGAAAGAAATTAACAGCGAAAATCATTTTAAACTAGATTTTGATGTTTCTATAAGTAAAGGGGGTAGTTACAGAAAAAATTCTAAAATTTTTTATTTACTCACCAATTTGCATCTGCCGATTCCATTTGTGTCGCAGTATGTCATCCTCAGAAACTCAATGTCATGTTCTTTACATTTAGACACTATCTTCACTATCTCTTCATCACACCCGTCGTAAAAAGCGAAACGAGAAGACGACATTCCGAGTCAGTTGTTCGATCACGTGTTGGTTACCTAGAAAAAAGCAAGCAAGATTTATGAAGCGTAGCCGATAAGATTTTCACGTATTTGTACCCAAATTAAATAAAAACAAGAATAGCCGGTTTCTGTTCGAGTATCACAAAAAATTCCGGTCGCAATACAGTGCTGACTAAAATTATCCAGACAAATTAAACAAATTTTGAAACTTCAACGCGTTGTTCTCAAATTGATTCGAAAAAGACAGAAATTAAAGAGGACAAAAGTTGCTTAGAATGCTACCAGATATATTATAATACAACTTTTTTGGGATTTCGGAACCAGAACTTTCGGGGTCAACTTGTTGGTTTTTTTTTTGTTCAAGAATTATGCTGATACTACCAAATTTTAAGATTTTACCATTCTAGAACTTTGTTGAACGGTGTAAAGCACTTCCTTCGATATAGTTTTCTCATTAAATTTTGATTCAGGGAAAAAAATGATCCTTTTTGGGTTGAAAGTTTGGTTCTGACATTAATAAATTAATTGTCACCAAAAACGCTAGTAAAGCTCTAAGCAACTTTTTCCCTCTTCACTTTTTGTCTACTTTCGACTCATATCGAGAAAACCGTGTTTGAAGTTTCCAATGTTCGACCTCACTGTTCGAACTACATGGCCTCACTACACAAAGCTTTTTTATCATTCAACTCCAACACAAAATGTGTGAAGAAAACGCTTGTCATAACCTTTCCAAAGAAAACAAGGATAGCTGGATATTTTACTAAATAGACAAAATGTTCCGACCATAGTGTTAGAGAAAATACGTGTATTTTTAAATTAGTCTCGTTTTTTCTGTGGGGTAGGATTAAAGGGTATACACCAAAAACTAGAAAATAGGCATATTCGACAGTCATATTAAAACAGGCAAAATGGAAAACTTTTTTGTAAAAAAAAATGAAAAGAACAACCAAAAATTACCGTAAAAAAGCAAAACATTTTATAAGTGTTTGAATTCAAAAGGGCGTTGAAAAACTCCAAAAACTAATTTAAGTTCAATAGAACTCAAATAAACCACAATCAAGCTATTGTAAAATACCTAAATTAAGCATAAATGAGCCTGTTTGCTCATTTCGCTTGCATGAAGTTGATCAAAAATGAAAGATTTTTGAAAAGGTTTCTCTCAAACTGAAAAAAGTTCAGAATTTTAAAATTTCGTTCGAATCACGACTGAAACAGCTTTAACATGATATATCACTCGACCAATCTGATGATTAATTGTGGTATCTGACTTTGCGTGGAAAACAAAAAAGATAAAAATTTAAAACACATCCGAATACGAAATTTCAATGGTCGGAATAAATTCGTATTTCAAAAGAACCACAATGTCACTTTTATACTAAAATATACATAATTTTAGAAAAATTTGCTTGCAAACTAGCAATATTTTATCTAAAACGTAGTCTCGGTTGATTGTTTCATGCAAATGCAACAAAACTGACTAAAATCTTTGTGCAAATCCAATTATGAAAGCCTTATGGTATGATAAGATATAATTCAATCTGTCAAAAGAGTAGGCCAAAGTTTTAGTTTAGTAAAATTGTTAAGTAAGTTTTTTTAGCCATATACAAAAACTTGCGGTTTTCATTCTTGGTTCTAATTGAAATGTGATTTATTTTTTCATAAAGACAATCTACAAACGCCGGCTATCTGTTATATTTCTACCCAGCAACCAATGAGTTTTCTGATTGTAAAAATAATTTGGTTGTTGTGTTGTCGAACAAAACCCAAAATTAGTTAATCAAAAAATAGTATTTTTTGATTAATGGAAAAAATGCTAGTCACATAATTTTTATGTATGAAAAATTGCTTTCAACTCAAAAAATTTTCCGTACGTTTGGAAATATAAGAAATTGGTATGGCAAGAACGTTTCCAAATATGGCAAGTATATAATAAGTTTTGGTCAGCCTGGTCGTTTAAAAAGTAAGAAGAAGGTTTTGTAGAAAAAACTAAAGAAAAGATTTTGAGGGCCTCGAAACCCATCGGTGCTCGTACAGTATTTCTCCGTTTGTGTTATTTGACTTGAAAGTAATTAAAGCGAGCGTCGCTTTTAATTTGATTGGAAAGTTTGATCTGCTGAATTTTATGCTGAGTTTTAATTTGATGTACTGATGTGTTTTTAATTGGTTGATTTCTTCGAGTTTTTAGCAATCATTACTTAATGAATAACCTATTCAGTCTTGCGCCCAGAAAAATTTGTTGAAACTGAATCATATAATGTTATATTTTAATATATTTCATTATATTTCATAAAAGTTTGGAGCAAAAGGTTTCCCCAAAGTCTTGAAACTTATTTTTTTTGTTGAAAAAGAGAAGTTACTAAAACTATCTTCACGTCATGGCTGTTTTCTGTCTAAATTTTGTGATGCATGATTTAGGTTTGACGTATGGCAGTTGAAGTTGTTTTAAATAATGTTAAGAAATCAAACATTAATGCTTCGAAGAGGCCAGGACCAATGAATGAAACTCGAAAGGTTCTCCAGAAATGTCCGGTTTCTGAATGTTTTGGGGAGCGGCTCAAAAGGTTTAAATTTTACTCTCACCAATTTTTATCGATGTCTGGTTTGTTCGTTATGACTGAATTTCAGTCTATTTAACGATGTAATTCTAAACTTAAAAAAAGTTTTACAGAGACCTAAATTTAAAAGTTGTTTTGAATACAAAAAATCAAGTTATTTCAAAAGTAGTTTTATCAAACAAAAAACTTCCAGATTTTTTCAATAGATGAAACTTTTATGAACTCGCTCCAGTATGTATAATAAAACAAGTGGCACAGAATGTTCCGACCACAGTCTTAACATAAAAGATTTTTTTTTTCAATTTATTGGCGTTTTTTTCGCATTGTGTGATAAAAAATACCTGAACCAGTAAAAAACTTTAGCATAATTGATAGTCAAAATAAAAGCCATTCGGAATACATTTTTTAGGAAAACTGAAAAGAAAAACTAAAAGTATTTTTAAAAAATGATGTAACACTTTTAAATTTTTTTAAAACAGTTTTTGCAGAAATTTTTGGAGTGTTTATCTTTGTTTACAAAATGGCGCCACAAGACTGTAACAACTACTTTCATTTGAGAAAAAAGTTTTCACGGCTTAAAGTAAGCTTAGATGAGCTATTGTAAGCTTAAACGCTCACACCATATTAGTTCGAAGTAAGACCAAACTTTTTAAAAAACGTTCGAATTATAATTGAAAGGGCTGTAATTTGATATATTACTCGACGTATTTCAATAAACTTTTGTAGTACCTGACTTTGCGTGGAAAACAAAAAGAAAAACAAAATAAACTTCCTCCCCGAGTACAAAGTTCCTCCCCATTTTTTAAGTCAATGAACAATCAAATAAATCTGTGACTCCTTGTCTATGCAAAGAACAATTTACAATATCAGGGGTATTTGGTTTAATTTTTTCTAAAACAATTTATTTGGAAATTTCAGCAAAAATGGCTGGACACTGAACAGATGTTGAATTCTGTATTCCGCTTCTCACACGTTTTTTTTTACTTCCTTTCCACGCAAAATCAGCTATCATAAAAAATCTTCAGACGAAATGAGTAATATACTATAATAAATTTTTTCAGTTGTGACCCAAGCGATGTTGAATTTTGGAAAATCTCCTCAGTGTCGAGAATAAAGTTTCTAAATTTTTTCTCTACTGCAAGTTTCGAACGGGTAAAGAGAGAAAAACTTTGTTTAAGGGGAAAATATTCCGTGAGCCGTGAAAAAACTAGTCTTTGAATGTTCATTTGCGCGTTTTTCCACGATAGTTTTCAAAAAATTGTTAAAAAAATTATTAGTTTTTGTCGTTTTCCCCCTGCAGTATTCAAAAAAACCAGCTCGTTTTCGAAAGCAGTGTTTTGTTTTATGTTTTTTATGAAATTGTTGGAAGTTACACTACTTTTTTACCTTTTTTACTCTCGAATTTTCGGTCATTTTTTCTGTCGAATAAACTTAACCTCGAATTTGTCTTATTTTTTTTGACTGACTCAGACGTTGTTAAAAAGTGCCAAATTTCAGAAGTCACAATTAAAAAGTTTTATCATTTGAAAAATATTTTTTCTTTTCGTTTTTGAGGGACATAGTTGTTTGTTTTATAAATTGTGTCAGACAACATAATTAGTAACGTTCACAGACCATCTGTTTTTTTCAACAGTCTGCAAACTGAATTTTTCAAATTTTGAGGTCCAGCGACCTTTAAACAATGAATTAACAATAAATTGAATTCCAATTGCCAACTAGTGAAAATTATTATGTCAGACAAGAGAAGTCGCTCTGCTTGATTATTAAAAAAAGAACTCTCAATCGCTGTACATAAGTTTCAATTATTAACTATCTTCTCACAAACAAATTTTTCAGGGGTTTTAAAAGTTTTCAAGATCGCAAAAAATTCTGCTTCTAAAAACACGCGCATTTAGTTTCAACAAGAACAAAAAAGATTTTTCAGCTCTCCTCTTTTTATGAGGTGTACACTTAATTTTCTTTGAAAGCAAAAATTTGTTTCAAAGGTTTTCAGAAAAACGCACAAGATTTGTGTTGCCAATTTGGATAATAAATTTTGCTTGATATAAGTTCATTGATTATAATCTTTCAAGCGAAAATTTTTTATATGCAATTCCAAAAAGCTTGTTTTCTTAATGGGGTTCAATGGTGATTTGCCTACAGTTTTTATTTTGTTTGCGCTAGCGCTAATTCGTAATAAGCACGTTGCAAAAACCGTTCTGGTATGAGTTCCTTTAAACGCATTAAATTTTTCGCATGATATATAATGTACGCAGTTCGAGCAAACATCTGAATTTGCTAGATTTGACTTTTTTCAATTATTTTTTACAATTCAACAGTACAAAAGTTTCCGATAATTAACTGATTTTTTGAACTAAGAAGCTATTTATGCTTAAAAATTTTTATCAAAAACGAACAATTTGCTTTTGGTTTGACAACCTTGGTTTTCTTTTTTTTCTTTCTTTCGTTCTTAGGGAAACTTATTTCAGTGATTTCCGGTTTGCGTTTTTTACCAAACATCCACTAAAAACTTGCAAAACTACAGAAAACACTCAAATACTAAAAACAGCGAAAACATTTAATTTCAATTTTTCAAGAAACAAGTAAGACTAATTTATTCTATTTGCATTCCAAGATCAATGGGAAAGCTGTTTAAATAACTATAAATTCTTACCTTACCTTCTAAGTGTTGTTAAGAATGCGAGAAGAGTTTATAAATCCAACGTAGTATATTAACCACTGAGAATAACAAGAATTCTTCCTTCGGATGCGAATTATAAAAGTGAAGAAGTTTTCCAAATAATAACTATTAATAATAATTATTATTTTTTTCTTTTTCGTTAATATGATTAAATTTTTGCAGAAAAAATTTGCAGTGCTTTGGTGCAGTAACAAACGGTTAAAATTTTTTCCCTCAATTCATCAAATGGATGTAAAAAAAAAGTTTTTATCTCCTTGTTACCTGATAGTAGCAATTATTTATTATACAACTTAAGTCCCAAATGTATGCAATTTATTCAAAATGTTGAAGCAATTTCTACACTTTACTCTGTTTTGCTTATAAAAGTGGGCCCAATTTTTTTTCCAATTTTATAGCTGTCTTGGCATTAATGTTTTTACCCGGACCCAAATGGTGCTGTAGAATTCCGGGGGGATTTTGGGCTAATTTTTGTGCGCTTTCTTTCTTACTTGTTTATATGCGCGCTCTGTGGTATGAAAAAATAGTACAGGCACTAATAACATAACAGTAAATTGGAGGGCTTCAATTTTTGTACTGTAGAATCCAAAAAATTACTACCTTATATCTTTTTTCAAGTTGGATGGATTGGTAATTTTTGATAAATTCGTACCACTGAGTTTTAAAAAGTAGAGTCTAACTATCTGTGTTACAACAAAAACTTTTTTGTTTTCAATGCCGTAAAAAAATTTTGCCCAATATTTGGGTGTGTGCAAATAGATTTGTCTGTTCTTTGAATTTTCTGCCGATTGAACCTCAAAATCAATTCGATCCTCATGCATTAATTCTATTGCCAAATTGGATTTGTATTTTGGAATTAAATGTTAAAATAAAAAAAGCAAGAATAGATAAGAGTATACTTGGAACTATATGCAAAAATATAAGATAAGGCTTGTTTGTGTTTAGTGGAAATTACGGTAATGTTAAGGTTCAAAATGAAGGAAGTGTTGGAAATATGATGGCACATATAGCGGGGTTAAATCAACACCTTTGAATTTGTAATTAGCTAACGGGGGAAATTTTGTCTCTAAGGGTTGTAAATATATCTTGGATAACATAAGTGCCTGCATCACTCTAATGAAAAATTATATTTTATGCAAAAATCTTTTTTTTTGCCCGAGTTGATAGTTTTTTTTATCAAATACTGCAATGAATTCGTTTTTCATCTAAATGTTTGTCGCTCAAATATTAGATAAGGTCTATTAGTGTTTGATTAAAATTCTGGTAATGCTAGTCTTCAAAATGAGGGAAAGGTTGTAAGTATTTCCTGTTAAAAGAAAGGCATCGATTTTATTAGCATATAACCCGGATCTAATTTTTTGTTTCGACTTTCTAAGTGCTCGACCGAAAAACAATATAGCTGAGAAAAGGTACTCGGTCAAAACAAACATTAAACACACCTCGAGCACAGTCAAAACTTACCTCGAACACGGTCAAATTAATCTGGAATATTGTCGATACATACCTCGAGCACGATTTTCCAGGAACAAAGGAAAGTAAATTTGTCAAAATTTCTTACAAATATCAACCCTAATTTTTACAGTCTAGACACAAAGTCCAAGACAAAATTTGACCGTCGTATTTCATCGTTTTGACCCTGACTGGGTGTTTGGGTAGTTATTCTCGAGATATGTTTTTACCATGTTCGACTTAGTTAGGGTGATTTTGAAACCATGTTTGAGGCCTGAATCGATCATGCTCGAAGTTTTTTTTTTCTTTCACCCCACTTGACCCATTTTTGACAATTATCAACAACTAAAGTAGAATGAAAAAACCATATCAGTTTTATTAACCTTGCTAATGGTATTCAATCGGTGTGTCTGGACAATTGTGTCCAAAACATTTATGGCCTGGACAAAACTTTCCGAAATTCAAAAAGTGTCCAAGACATTTGATTCTCAGACAAAACTGTCTCAAAATTGTCCGAAATTGACCCGCTAATTGCCAACGTATATAACAACTGAATGATTTTGATGAAAAATTAGAATAAGAAGGATCAATTTGATTAGGCCGCGCAACTAGGCAATAATACCAGAATTTTCACTGATTAGCCCATTAGAGACTCAATTAAGAGAGGACTCAAATCATTTAGACATACCTGAGCATTTATCACTTGGTTGATGATTGATTCTAGTATCATTATTATAGCTCTTGAGTTCGTGTTCAACAAGGGAAATCCTCATGACAAATGAAACAAAGAAAGCTAGTTTATGATGCATAAATTATTTCGAACTTCGAAATTTGACAGACACCTCAATTTCGTAGTGATGTGTCTTATTAAAATGTAATGGCCGCGTGCATAGTCATTTCTCAGATCCAGCCAACATTGAAAAGCAAAAAATCAGAACAGCTCTGAAAACTAGAGCAGTTGTAGCAAATGAGCCACCTGGAAAATTAGTTCATTCCGTTCAGAGGACCAAATGTCTGGTACAATTTTAAAGTTTAGGACAGTTTTGTCAAGGAAACAAATGCGTGGGACACAAATGTCTATGCTTCATCAACCGGGTACCTGAGTTTTTTCTTGTTGAAAATTAATTAGCAATAATCATCCGCACAGCTTAAAATTATTTCAACGTGATGGAGCTTCCATTTTTGCACTGGGGTTACATATAAGGTTGAAATGGCAGAGATCATTGGTTAGAGCCCGGTCAAAAGCTATTTTTTTTTATCAAATAGCATTTTTCTTGAAAAGTTTTATTGTCGGAAATTCGGTTGATTGCTTATACCTTAACGGCATATTTTGTTCAACATGTACGTTTTCTTTTAAATTTTCATCGGCTCAAGTAACTTCCCTTCATTTTCCCTCCGCTTGTTTGCCTTATATGTCTTCTTTAAAAGCGACCAAAAAAGTTATAGGTGCCTGTGAATCGAATTGCATCTTGAATTGGGATACATCTTGTCAAACTGCTCCACAGAATCAAAACAAAACCTGCCATACAACGTCAATAGGTTAATAATTTTTGAACATAGTATAAAAAGCAATGTCTATAAAATTTGATATTTGAATATGTATCAAAAATGATATCAGTTTTTCAATAACAACCAATCATCTACATTTTTGACTTTTTTCAAAGATGAACGAAAATGTTTAAATGATGAACATTAAGCAAGGTTTTTCCCCCTTAAAAATTACGTGTTTTTTTCTTTTGTTTTTATCTATGGAAATTAGCGCCGAAGTTTGGAAGTAAAAATCTGAAGTTATTTTCAGCAGAACATAAAATGCCTAAACTTCTTAATTACTTAGTTCGATATGCAACTTACATTCTTTTATTTCATTTTTTTGTACCTCATTTGTTATGCAGGTAGCGGTGGTTATGATGTCTACAGCCCCAGATTCATAGTGCTAACAAGCAAAAAGGTCTTTAAAATTGGCAATGTATAAACTGCCCGGTTTGACCAAAAATGCTTTTCATACGATTTTTAAATATTGAAAAAAGCTTACCACGCAATTTTGTACAATACGATAGGCACAGAAAATTATACGAAAACTCTTTGATACGCATTTTTTCTTAAATGAAAAATTAAAGCAAGCTTTTTCCAAAAATCAGAAAGTTATTATTTTTCGGGCTTTGCATAATTTTTTGTGTTTTGTCCGAAAACTCATTAACCGGGGATTAGCTGACACAGGAAGTCCCCTTGATTGAAGGGATCATATCTCAAAGGTACACAGCATCTGAGTAAAAACTATGAGATTTTTTTTCAAAGATCACTAAGAATTATGAAAAAAAGCCTTAAACTTTTGAGTATGTAAATTTTCTTTGGTATGAAAAATTCAGCCTGGACTACGTAATAGAGCAATATAAGAAAATTTTCGCATGCAATTGTTTCTTTCAAAAATGCTCATTTGAGCATTGAAATGATATTGCAAATGAAATTGTTTCTTGAAATTTAATTTTTGTTGGTAATTTTTTATGCAACAGCGTAGAAAACGCTTAATTGAATAGAATCTGTATGATAAAAAATTTTCCATATACGTCAATGAAATTGTGCGATAATCAATTTTCTGGAATTGTATAGTTAGCGTTCTTTTCGTGCACGGAGGTTAACCCGGGTGTTCAAAAATCCATTATCGAAGTTGAGAGCAGAAAATTGAAGTTGAGAGCGATTTTGTATTTTGAAACATTAGCTCTTTTGTTGTAGAAATTCAGAACAAAAATGATTTTCTAGGTGTTGCAGTTTCGTGCCGTTAATTTTTTTGGGATTGTCAAACATCCTTTTTTTAAACAGTAAAATCCTACGGCTAAACTTGATGGTTTTTTCTTATAAAGTTGTTTCTTTTTTGAAGAATTTTCGAAAAGTCAATTTTAGATTCAGTTTTGTCAGCATTGGAATAAAAACAAGCTATTCAGTTTTTTTGATAAACACGCTTAGTTTCCTCAGTTGCTTTAGCTTAGCCCTCAAAATTGTTTTTATTCATGCTTGAGAAGACAAAGCCCTGGAGTTCGATTCCAGTCGTTACTTGTTTTTCAAACAGAAAAATTTTGGAAATTGTATATTATCGTCTATCTATTTATTTGCGTCGGCTTAGTTTTGCACACCAAATTTTTAATAGAAAGTCTGGCTTTTATCTAGCAGTTTTTCAAAGCCCCTTTTTCTTTTTTTTTGCATTTTCTGATTTGTGTTTTCATTTGCTTTAAAACATGAGCATTCAATTCGGTTTCTCAAGTGATTTGAAATTCAGCTTCGCCTTTGTGTGAAACTTTTTTCCTGAGCCAGGCTTGCAGTCAATGAATATCATTAGCTGAGTTGTCTAAAAAGGATATAAGCTGAAGAAACTCCTTCTTCACTGCAGACCAGCCCAAAGATACTTCTCAGTTAACAAAAAAAGAAGAAGTATGGAAGGAGCCATTGAGTTCAAATATAAACTCTTTTATGTTAAGTTTTGACTTTTATGTATAGAGGTTCACCCGGTTAATTTCTTTATCGTTCACAAAGAATGATTATACTGACCTCGATATTCTTTATAAAATGTAATATAGAAATGTAGATAGGGAAAAAGGTGGAAAAGAGCCGGTTGTTTGGGCTTCTCAGAAAACTAAATACGCCAGCAGAAAGATTCAACAAACTAAATTTTTCAAATTTTTGAAATTTTAATTATTCAGTGTCTCTCATCAATTTTCAAAGTGAGAAGGATTTCAGATGTGCTCTTCATATATCACCCAAAATCTTCAGTTCAACTGCTGCCATCTTAGTTCTGAGGAAGAAGTTTACCGTTAAGCCAGATAATGAGCTGGAGAAAGTCGTTTTCATCCTTGAATTATCGGGATTTTATCTTTGCTCATTATCCACCCGCCGTGGATCAAAGACCGCGTTAATGACAACAAACTTGGTAATTTGTTGTTTTTTATGTACTTTTTCTATGAAAGGATCCCGATTTTTTAAACAGGTTATAAATACATGAATAAAACGAAAGCAACCTTTGGAACCGTTTATATTTACAACATTATAGACCATGAAAATCCATTATAATC